GTCGCGTTCGCGCGCTCCCGACCCCGCGTCGCGCGCGCGATGACCGACGACGACGCCGCGCGCGATCGGCGTCGACGCCGCGCGTCGCCGAGCCGACGTCGGCGACGATCGAGGGATGATTCGAGATCGTCGAGCGACGACGACGATCGACGACGACGACGACGACGACGTTCGCGTGAACGCGACGCGCGCGCGGATGACTCGCGCGAGCGATCTGTTCGTCGCGGGCGGAGCCGGGACGACGACCGGGACCGGGTCGATGGGCGCGTGGACGATCGCGGGCGACGGCGACGGCGAAGCGAGAGTCGACGCCGCGGACGGTCGAGGAGCGAGGACGATTTGCGGTGGGACCACCGCGCGGATGGGCGGGATGCGCGGGATGGACGGTGGCGACGGAGGCGTGGACGGCGGTGGCGGAGCGCGAGTGGGAGTGGGAGCGCGAGTCGAAGCGGCGGCGGCGGACGAAGACGCGGGTCGCGATGGGACGTCGACGACGACGGCGGGCGGGCGGAGACGGCGTCGGGGGAGGGAGAGACGTCGGGGCGAACGTCGAGGGAGCGTGGGGGGGAGGGGGGAGACGAAGGGCGGCCGGTGCAGTTGAAGACGCAGATTGAGATGATGCGCGCGCTGAGCTCGCAGACGCGGGACGAGGCGAGACGGGCCATCGAGGAGGCGAAGGAGCGCGCGCGGGCGCTCGGTGCGGCGACGGCGACGGCGACGGTGGTGGCGACCGCGGACGATGCGCGACGAACGAACGGTGAGCCGGAGACCTCGCTCGGGAGCTCGCGCGATGACGAAGGGTTCGCCGTGGCGCGCGCGAGAGCGGTGGACGTGACCAAGGACGTTCCGGGCGCGCCGAGAAACCTCCGTGAGCGCGAGACGGAGGACGCACAAAAGGCGACGGGGGCGTCCTGGGGGGTCGAGTTGTACGACATGGACATCAAGTACGAGGGATTGGTGATCGGTCCGGGCGGGGCGACGATTCGCAAGCTTCAGCAAGACATCGGCACCACGATTGAAGTCGTGCGAGGCGAGGGAAAGCTTCAAATAAAAGGCTCGAGAGAGAAGATTGCGCACGCTCGAGAGAAGCTGGATGAGTTCTTCAGGCTCAAGGGATCGAAGACGCTCACGGTGGACTGTAAGGCTCGATCGGGTTTGCTCATAGGAAACGCCGGGCAAACCATCAAGGCGCTCAAGGAGCAAACCGGGTGCCGCATCGAGGTCATGCGAGACGTCGAGAAGTGCGTCATCACCGGTCCGGGCGATCGCGTCGAGTTCGCAAAGTCGTTGATCGAAAAGATGATCGCCGACTCGTGGGAGGCTGGCGCGGACGGTGACGTGAACATCATCGAAGAAGTGGTTCCGTGCGCGTACAAGTCGGGCGCCATCATCGGTCCGGGCGGGAACACGATTCGTAACATTCGCGAGAGCACGGGCGTGGCGATCGACATCGAGCGCGGCGCCGACGGGTGCAAGGCTGGCGATCGATGTCGCATCGTCGGTACCGCGACACAGGTGAAAAAAGCCGTCGAGATCGTCCGTCAGCTCCTTCGCGAGATGGACCAACAGCAGCTCGCGGCGGCGACGCCCGCGACGCCGCCCATGTTCGCCGCGTACGCCCAGCACGCCCAATATCTCGATCCAACGCACGCGTACTACGCCCAGTACTACGCCGCCATGATGCACGCGCAACACGCCGCCGCGAGCGGGCATCTACCACCGCACTCGGGTGACCCGCCGCCGCCGCCGCCGTGACGCGCCGCCCGTTGTCAATCACACACGCATCGTCACTCCACCGCGCCCCGTTCGACGCGACGAACGATGCGTCGACCCCACGTCCTCGCCCTCGTCCTCGTCCTCGGTCTCACCGTCGTCCACACCGCGCGCGCGGACGCACGGCGACGCCACGTTCGACGCGGCGTCGCCCCGATCGATCATCATCGTTTCACCGAGACACACACAACGTTCCAGTGCGACGACGCATCGACCGTGATCTCGATCGATCGCGTGAACGATGAGTACTGCGATTGCGTCGACGGGAGCGACGAGCCCGGGACGTCGGCGTGCGCGGGACGAGGGAACGACCGGGGGTTTTATTGCGTCAACGCGGGCGGCGTCGCGACGCGCGTCCCGGCGTCGAGAGTGGACGACGGCGTGTGCGATTGCTGCGATGGAAGCGACGAAGACGGCGAGATGGGATCGGTGAAGTGCGCGAACACGTGCGGGGAAGAGGCGCGAGCGAGGCGAGAGGGATTGATGAAGACGTTGAGGGAGGCGACGCGAGGCGAGCGGCGACGGGCGAAGGAGGCGGACAAGGCGAGAGGACGGCGAGAGGAATGGAAGCGAGAGCGAGACGCGCTGGAGGAGAAGATTGGAGAGAAACGAAAGCGGGTCGATAAACTCTTGCGAGAGGCGGAGGAGGCGGAGGCGGAGGAGCGGAAGATTCGTGAGGAGGAAGAGGCGAAGCGAAGGACTCTGGAGGAGATGAAATCGAACGACGACGCGCCGAACGACGACGCGCCGAACGACGACGCGCCGAACGCGGCGGCGACGACGAATGGAAACGATGAGGGCGATGATGAGAACGGACGCCCGACGGAGGAGACGACCGCGGGCGAAGACGCGGGGGAAATCATAGGGGAGACGGATGAGGAGCGAGGCAAACGCATCGCGAGTCAATGGATTTCCAACGACGACGCCCCTCCAGAGAGCGCCGAGGAAACCGGCGAGGACGACGGGAACGACGCGCCGATCGATGCACGCGTTGACGAGGGCGACGCAGACGACGTCGTCTCGTCCGGACGGTCTAAACTCCGTTCGATGTTCGATCGCGCGAGACGACTACTCAAGCCGAGCAGGGACGAGGCGCTCGCCGCGCAGGCGTCGAAGAGACGAGACGCGCACGACGCCGCGCGCAGAGAGCTCGACGACATGAACGATAAGCTCGATGAACTTCGAGCAAAGGTGGATCGCGACTACGGTCCCGACGACGTCCTCATCTCCCTCTCGGGACAGTGCTTTGAGCAGAAGATTGACAAGTACACGTACAGCGCGTGTCCGTTCGGCGAGGCCAAGCAGGACGACGTCCGGCTCGGTAAGAACGTCGCCGTGCGCGTCGACGACGCCACCGGATCCATGACTCTCAAGTTTGAAAACGGCGAGGGATGTTGGAACGGGCCGAGTCGCTCGCTCGCGCTCGCGCTCGAGTGCTCGGACGAGAACCGTCTGGCGAGCATCGAGGAGCCGTCTCGATGCGAGTACGCGGGCGTGTTCCACACCCCATTCGCGTGCTCGCCCACGATGGTGTCCAATCTCGAAAACGAGCTCGCCGAGCTCGATCGCGTCGTCGCCGCCGCGTCCCGCGACGCGTCCCGCGATGAATTGTAACGTCTCATCAATCAACTACAACGCGCGCGCTACGTCTCCCCCGTCACCCCTCGCGCGCGCGCACACCCTCACCGGTCGCCATCCCGCGCGCGTCGCCCCCCTAGACGTCGAACCCGGCGTCGCGCAAACACGTTCGATGTTTTTCCGCCAACTCGACGCATCGCGCATCCGTCTCCCCCCGCGTCACCACGCACGCGTCCCGCGCCGCCTTCGTCTCCGGACACGCGCAGCACAGCTTTTTCGGCGCCGCCGCGGTCGTCGTCGCCGAACGCGCGGTCGAGCTCGCGGCCGACCCCATGATGCGTTGATGCGAGTGCGAATGACGTCATTCACGACCGCATCATGGCGACGCGCGCGACGCCCACGACGCGAACGACGCTCACGACGCGATCGCGACGCACGGCGACGACGGCGATCGCGGGACGGGCGCGAGGTGACGGACGCGCGCGCGCGCGGGCGAGCGAGAGATGGTCACGAATGAATGTGTCGAGGCTCGCACCGAGACGTGGAATGATGACGACGGGGGCGATCGACGCGGCGCGCGCGGACGCGAGCGCGCGCGCGGGTTCGAGTGACGCTTCGGGAGGGTTCGAGTGGCGGTCGCACTGGTACCCGGTGGCGTTCACGTCGGACGTGGACGGGACGGCGCCGACGACGTTTACGCTCCTGGGCGAACCGTTGGCGTTCTGGAGAGACGCGAGCGGGGAGATGCGGTGCGTGGCGGATAGGTGCCCGCATAGAATGGTGCCTCTGAGCGAAGGGCGAGTGAACGAGGGGGGTGAACTCGAGTGTGGGTATCACGGGTGGACGTTCACGGGGGAGGGGAAGTGCACGTCGATTCCGCAAATCGAACCGGGCGCGGGGCTGGAGACGGCGTTGAAGAGCCCGCGGGCGTGCGTCGCGGCGTATCCGTGCGTGGAAAAGCAGGGTATGTTGTGGGTCTATCCCACGGCGAAGGATAAGGCCCCGGCGACGCTTCCGGAGCTTCCGTTGATTCCGGAGATTGACGACCCGGATTGCGTGTACCAAGACGTCTTCCGCGATTTGCCAATGGATTGGGCGACTTTGCTCGAGAACGTCATGGATGTCAGTCACGTGCCGTTCACCCATCACAACTCTGTGGGGAAGCGCGAGAACGCGACGCCGGTGAATTTGGAATTGACGAGCGCCGACGGCGTCAGCGCGAGCGGATTCCAAGGTATGTGGCAGGAGGGACCGAGAAAGGGTAAGTACGGGTCGCAGTACACCGAGTTCAAGGCCCCGACGTTGATGCGCCACACGCTCAGAACGGAGGCGTTCACGACGCTGACGGTGGTGTACGCGGTGCCGACGACGCCGGGTCGCTGCCGACTGCTCGCGCGCTTCCCGTTCATTTTCAAGTCTGCGCTTCCGCGATTCTTCTTCGGCCTCTACCCGCAGTGGTTCTCGCACACGAACCAAAACAGCATCTTGGAGGACGATCAGATTTTCTTGCACAAGCAAGAACGCTTAATCGAGGTTGATCAAAAGATCAAGGGAAAGTCGTACGCGCAGTCGTGCTACATGCCCACCAAGGCAGACGTGTACGTCTCTGCGTTCCGCAAGTGGATCACGGAGATCGCCGGGGGCGGTCCGGCTTGGCCGCTGGGAATGCCTACCAACTTGCCGCCGCAAGAGACTACTCGCGAGGCTCTTCTCGACCGTTATTACTCGCACACCGTAAATTGCAAGTCGTGCGCGACGGCTCTGGCAAACATTGGCAAGGTGCGCAAGGTGCTACGTGTTCTCACCTTCGTCGCTCTCGCCGGCGCCGTCGCGACGTTCGCGCGATCCATGCCTCTCAAATACACCATCGCTGTGTCGGTACTGTCCGCTGTGTTCGCGTTGGTACGCGAGAAGCTCGGGGGTCTCGCTCAAAAGATGCGCGTCGGTCCGTATCCGCCGCCGCGTCGCCCGCCTTCAATGATGGAAGCTGCGCTCGAGCAGGCGCGCATCGCGTTCTAAATCTGTACACTTTCAATACATTTTATTCTATCGGTACTGGTACCGGTACGGTACCGGTATCGCGAATCAATGAGTCAATATCTCTCTCGTCTTCGCTGAGGTTTCGTCAGCGAAGAAGAAGCGCTCCGCGACGTTTTTATCGTCTCCAATCGTCGATCCGCCCAGAGTTGGTGGAATGACAGACGCTAACTTTTCAACCACGCGCTCAACGAGCACTCCTTCGTCCACGAGAAACTTCACGGCGTGAGATATCACGTGAACTAGGAACGAGTCGCCGAGAGAGTTTATCAAACGTGTCTCGGAAGCTCCTGAGTGGTTGAGTACGACGCCTAGCACGGCGCGGGCGCATGCCTTGATTTCTACGTCATCAACCGCCCACGACGTCGATGCCTTAGTCCGCCGACAGAAGTACATGATTTCGTTCTCCGATGTTTCGACTCTCACGCTCCCTTTCGCGGTGAGATTATCAAGCGCGCGGCGCACGGCGTCCGCGCCTCTCGCCCCAGCGGCTTCGACGATCTTCGAGGAGCGAAGTTCGCCGATGAGATCATTGAAGTTCATACCGCGATCTCGCCCCTGAATGACTTTCATGCAGTGAGGCTCCACCATCTTAACATTCTCATTGGACGTTTGAAGGAAATCAATGGGTCCTGAAACGTCGCTCACCGCGGAATTCTCAGAGTCGAGGATTTCAATTTTCACGCCGTGAAGCGACTTGAGCGCAACGTTGGGTGAGTTGAAGTAAACACCCGCGGAATCGCCTGAACTGTCAAAAGCCGGAGGGAGTGCGCTCGTCACGGTCTCATTGGTTGTGGACATGGAGATCTTCTGATCAACGAGCGCGGAACACAGAGCCAAAAGTTGTGGACCATTTGGAGCTACGCAAGAGACGTGCTTTGGCTTGTCTGCATCCAAAAGATGTTGAGCGCACGTGAGCGCCTCCAAGCGCGACGCCGACACTTCATATGCGCGCATTCCTTTTAGTGACGTCGAAAGTTCTTCATCAACGTCAGAATCGTCGTCGTAATCGCTCACATCTTCTTCATCACTGTCACCGCTCTCATCTTGAAACGAGATGGCGCGCCGACGTAAAAATGCAATGGGTGCCAGACGAGCGAGGATGATATCATCGTCTGCTTCAGTCAATGTCCTACCGGCACGAATACGCCGCACTTTTTCTTCACGTTTCAGCTTCGGTCTCGGTGCCTCTCTCTTCGGCAAATCGTACGAGATTGGGAACTCTCTTAAGATTGAGCGAGTCGACTGCAACACTTGCTTTGCGACGCCATCCGACCACTTGCCGGTTCCATCCCACGTTTCATCCCATCGCTCAACTTCGAATTCACTTTTGGGTATCGGTGACGGCCTGTGTGGAAGTGCGTTATCGCGACGCGCGCGCGCGCCACGCTCATAATACTCTGCTCCAATTCTGAGGATGGCGTCGTGACGCACCTTGCTCATGGCCTCATCCCCGTCCCCTTCACCGACTGTGAGTCTTCTCCAGCGATCGACGACGGCACGTTGCCTAACTGTAGGGTATCTTGATCGCCACATCTGGTCGTTGTACACCAACGATGCTCTGTAGTCTCTCTTTTCGCTTCTGAAGGCATTTGTTCCCGACAGCGCGATGAATCGAATCATACAGAAAACCAAAAACTCGTCCTCTGATGCACCGAAGATGAAAGCCTTTCTTCGGCCAGCGGCGAGATTGTACTCTCCATCGCTATCGTCGTCATCAAAGACTTCATTGGCTTCCGAAACGTTTATGTCCAAGTTTTCTTTCGCCACCGATGCAGGCTTTGGCGGAGACACAGCAGATGTCAATCCCTCCAAGCGCGCAGGATTACGAGCGCTGCGCGATCCTTGTGGCAGCGCCCATGAACGGTACGGCAAGCGCCTCGTGACTCTAAATCGCGCGGACCTCGCGTAGAGATTCAGTGCCCTTGCGCCTGTTTGTGATGAAATAATACCATCGGTCACGGCGGCGCATATTCTTCGATAGCAGTAGTTTCGCCAGATTTCCTTCACCAGACTTAGGCCGCTCTGGTCGGGTATTCCAACGTCCTGAGCGAGCTGTTCAGCTCGAAGCGCGTCCTCTTTTGGTAATCCGTTCTCTGCGAGACACTCTATCGACTTGGCCATTAAAGCTGCTCCTTTACTCGACGATTCATCCGCGAGGTCCACCTCGTCAAATGAAATGTTTCTTTGCACTAGCAAAAGTTTGAGCAGAGTACGCCAAGACTCTCGTAAGCGATCGGTGAGGATGACGCAATTTTCCAGACCAAGGTCGTACTTTCGAGCCCACGTCCGCGTCGACGTGAGACGCGGATAATCGATGCTTGATGCTGGTTGCGCCTTGTCCATCCCGGGCTTTCCCTTGAACGTCTCCTCAAGAGTGCTCCAATACTCTTTAGCACCCTCCGCTGTCGTCACGTCAAAGTCTCTGCTCCACGAGTCATCGTCATCTACTTTGGCTACTTTGATTTGGAAACGTGCACTCTTAGTCAACTTCAGAGTGTAAAACATCTGACTCGTAGACTGGTCGTACTTGGGTGCCTCGTGCGCGAGCCCGAGCTCGGTCAAGCGCTTCTTGAGCTTGTTCATGCTTTGTACCGACCGCATTTTATCCCGTAGTCCCCGTCGTAAATCCCGCATGAGTTTACCGCGTAATGCCTCGGCTCTCACTTCGTCTAGATCTTCTGCGGTCAGAGTCTTTGATTCAACGCTGTTGACGAGCTTGATGTACATGGAGATCGGCATCAAATCGCCGAGGATCTCGTCGTTAATAGTGCCGTCCTCAATGCCGGCTCCGAACACTTTCGCGACCAAGTACATGTGTAAACACTCGAGACGAACAACAAAAGCTCTGATGTATCCCAAGCCAATGGCGTGGAAATCGTTTAGATTTCGATACACTCGCGTGTCAAAATCTTGCACTTGCTCCATTTCTACGTCGGTGAGCTCATTCAAAGGCAAAGCAGCGATCGGCGCTACCAATGAAGGAGTAACTTCCATCGGTTCGATGCGCACAACTTCGTTTGATGCAAGCTTTTTGCTCATTGATTGTCTCACGGCGACGTCTGTCGCTCGTATATCTTCCTTGAGCGCCTCGACGAACGGGGCGTCCTCAGCGCTCGCGGGATCAAACGGGTAGTCAATGTGAAAGAGTATTCGGTCCGGCTGGCGTTCCGTACTGGAGTCGTACGCCAGCGCCATGTCAAGCACTATCGCGTTACCGCTATCGACGAGACTATCGACGAGAGCGGTTATCAACTCTTTATCCACGCGCTTATACATTCCTCCCTCCGCGTCGGCGAGCCATTTGCCCAAACGATTTACATATAGAAAACCCTTCCCACGCAACTCCTTGAGGACTAAATCATGCCGCCTGGACGCGTCATCGACGAGCATTGGATCCATTTTCGTCCTAATTTCCATCCGTCCACCTCCATCGTCGCCCTGACGTTTATCACTGGCCTCGCTCGAGGTGTCGTTTGCGACGAAGCACGCCGTCTTCGTTTTGCCTCTCTGCACCATGACCCGCTTGAACAGCTCATCTTCCTCGTGCATCTTACTAAACCGCTTCTCGAGCGTCCTCGACGCCACGTCAAAATCACGTAAAATTTCTTCCTGCGTCAGCGCCCGACCAGCCTCGCGCAGGCGTTGGCACACTTGTGTCTCCAACGTCTGTTCGATGACAATTCCGCCTCGAACACCTCGACCCGTCCACCAGGATTCGTCGAGCCCGTCGTCCTCGTCCTCGTCCTCGCCGTCTAATTCGTCTTCCATCACGTCGTACGGTTTCAACAAGCGTACGGCATCGCCGAGATTACTCATGACTGGCTCTATGAATTTTCCCCGGCACAGGTCGGTTTTCACCCGAGAGAACACTTTCGTCTTCGCTGTGGAGGTTAAGCCCTTGAACAGGGACGAATTTTCAAACTCCGCGAGCAAACTCTCGCGCACAAATTTCGAAGTCGCCGTGCCTTGCTGCGCTTCGCTCAGAATTCTCGTGAACGCGGCGTAATAATCCCCTCTCTCTGCGTCGTGCGACTTTCCGCTCGGCTCAAAACGCTTGAGGTACACCAAGTTCTGAATGCTCCCACCCGTCTCGCGCGCCGACGTCTTGCGGATCGCCACCAACCCCGCCCCGAGAAGTGCCTTCACCAGATGATCGGCGTTCTTCCCACCGTTCGCGGCGTTGATCTCCGAACCGGTCGCGCCGCGCCTTCCGCGCGCGCCGACGATTTCCAGCGCCGCGCGCGCGTTCTCGCTCAGCTTATTCTCCCACGTCCCCTCATCCCCGATCCCGAGCGCTCGAGCGCGCGCCGCACGCGTCGCCGTGAACGTCACATCCATCCCCCACTCGACCACACCGCGTCGTTTCGCGTCCAACGTCGCTTCGACGACGCGCTTCGCCCGCGCGTCGCCCGCTCCAATTCCAGCCATCCCTTCGACATCGCCATCGTCCCCCATCGACGTCCTCGCGAGCCGTGCTACCTCGACGTCACCACGCTCGACGCACGCGAGCGCCATCGCGAGCGCGTCGCCGGCGTCGTCGTCGCTCGGTTCGGCGTGTCGCTCGCCAACGACCGCGCCGGCATCTTCATCGCTCGCCACGCGCGCACACAGCGCTCGAGCGGTGATGCCGCGCGCGCCGCGCAACGCGACGACGTCCAGGACGTCCTCGGCCCCGCGCGGCATCGCCGCGAGGCCCGTCTTGGCGCGGCGTCGGCCACCGACGCGCGGCGATGCGATGATGCGGCACGATTTATGTCAAGGAAACATCGGACACGCGGTACGTATTACCGGGACAGACGGTCTGTGCACGTGACCCAGTGTGCGTGAAACCCGCGACGGGGCGCGACGCCGCCGCGCGACGGCGCGAACACCGCGACGCGCCGCGTCGAGCGCCGCGCGATCGACGCGCCGAGGGAAAACCCGCGCGTTCGCATCGACCGCGCGCGGACGACGTGACGGCGGCGACGGCGGAGAGACGACGGAGAGACGCACGTCGGCGCCGGCATTTCGAACGATCGCGCGCGATCGACGATGACGACCACGCTGGACGTCGACAGCGTGATCGAACGTTTGTTGAGCGTTCGAGGGCAGCCGAATAATCGAACGGTGCAGCTGGCGGAGGGGGAGATCCGGGCGCTGTGCGCGGCGGCGAGGTGCGTGCGCGAAGACGCGAGCACGCGAGGGGTGGAGATCGCGCGCGAATTTACGCGAATGGTGGAGATCGTCGAGGTTTCTTGGTCACGCGAGGGGCGCGCGGATCGCGCGAGGGCGTGGTGGATGGTGTGAAAATACGCCTCGCCGATGGGGCGTTCGCGATGGGACGACGCGCGATCGCGTGGGCGCGAGGCGGGTCGGGAGGCGGATGGCGAGACGCGCGAGAGGCGATCCGAGACGGGTGGATGTGTTCATCGGTCAACGACGCGCGCGCTCGGGTGTTGGAAGGCGTGAGAGAGGAACGGATGGGTGACGTATCATCGCAGAATGCCGAATCGACGACGCGATGGAGGACGAGAGACTGACGAAAGCGCTACGTTTCGCGTTTTGCTTGACGCAGAGAAATTTTCCTTGCGCAGCCGTGTTTGCTTGAGCTGGAGGCGCCTTTGAAGATTTGCGGGGATGTACACGGACAGTATTCGGACTTGTTGAGGTTGTTCGAATACGGCGGGTTTCCGCCGGAGGCGAACTATTTGTTCTTGGGGGATTACGTTGATCGCGGAAAGCAAGGTTTGGAGGTGATATGTTTGCTCCTGGCATACAAGGTGAAGTATCCGGAGAACTTTTTCTTGCTCAGAGGTAACCACGAATGCAACTCGATCAGTAGAATCTACGGATTCTACGACGAGTGCAAGCGGCGGTACAACATAAAGCTTTGGCGCGTGTTTTGCGACGTGTTCAACTGCTTGCCCTTCGCTGCAATTGTGGACGAAAAGATCTTTTGCATCCACGGTGGACCGAGTCCAGAGCTTAAGGACTTGCAGCAGATAGTTCAAATCAAGAGGCCGACGGATATCCCGGACATGGGGATGCTCTGTGACTTTTTGTGGAGCGATCCAGACGCAGACATCCAAGGCTGGGGAGAGAACGATCGAGGCGTTTCGTACACTTACGGCACAGACGTCGTCGGCGATTTCCTCGCCAAGTTTGATTTCGACTTAGTGGTTAGAGCGCATCAGGTGGTGGAGAATGGTTACGAATTTTTCGGTAAGCGTCAACTCGTTACGGTGTTCTCTGCTCCCAACTACTGTGGAGAGTTCGACAATGCCGGCGCGATGATGACAGTGGACGAAAACTTGATGTGCAGCTTCCAAATTTTGAAGCCCGCCGAGCGTAAGCTCATGGGTGGTTTCGGTAGTATGATGGGTGCGCGTCCGAGCACGCCGCCTAGAAATGCCGGCGGTGGCGGCAAATAAGCGGAGGTGGGGCAGCACTCTCGGATTCGAACGAGCTTCGCTGCTCAATCCGAGACTTGAGGGATGGGGATGAAGCGTGAGGCGACGAAGCGGTCGCTCACGCCATTTAGCTCGAACTTGTGTAAACTGGTATACTGGTACGCTCATAAACCACCACTCTCGCTCTCGCTCGATTTCCCGCTCGATCAATCGAACTCGATCTCACGCGCGCCAGTCGCGTCGCTCCGTCCACGCGAACCATGGTGTCACTTCACGCCTCACTGCGCGGCGACGCGCACGCGACGACGCGCACTCGAAAACTCCATAATACGCTCGGTATCGTCTCGCACGCGTTTCATGTCCACCGAAGACGACGACGGCGACGTTGACGCTTTGCAAGAGCTCAAGGAAAAGGTTCAAAACCTCTCGCGTAGCAACGCCGTCATGGCTGCGCACTGTTGCAAAGCCGCCAAGAAGATCTATGGATCGAAGGTCGACGCGGGCTCGTTTAGGTTTAGAAGACTTCCGGGAGTGTTGATAATAACGCACACTGTTCAAGTCAAGGTGCGCGAGCTGGGAGGATCGAGCGTTTGACTCAGCGAGGCGACGGATTCGACGAGACTGACGAGACGATGGCGACTCGACATTTCCAGGACGTTGGCTGCCGAACAAAAGCCTACATGGTGAAGAGTGCGTTGAAGGCGCTCGACAGCGTTGGTATTGTGTACAAAATACCGAACAAGGGATTTTACTTTCGTAATAATTGGACGCTTTCGCAAGTTGACGAAGCGTTGCGCCGACGATGTCGTCAAGATGACGACGATGCGGTCCCATCAGAGACCGATTCGGCCGTCGATGACGACCAACGCGTGTCTCGCGATCCGCCTAGTCATAGAAATGATGTTGAGAGCGACGAAGAGGAGATTTCAGTGGTTCCTCTGGACGATGCTCCCGTTCAAATCGGCTTAAAGCGATCGTCGCCGGAGAAGGATGTAAACTCCATCGCCGCACACGAGCGCCGGACGCGAGTGAAAGGTGCCAATCCTCAACCCGCCTCCATCAGTAACCATCGCATCTCAAGTCGGCTTCCGCCTCGAATGGCGCTCCTTCAACGACATGAATTGATAAGTCCAGACGGAAGTCCATGGGCTATAAATCGAGGTGACCTTCCGCAAGTGATTCAGCAATCGAACAAGGAAGCACTTTCGTTGACCGAATCTCAACCGCAGCGTAAAGAGGCTAAGAAGGAACCGACGAACCGAGACGACGGTGAAAATAATTTCAACTTTGATTTTAACGCGTTCGGTGCGACGCTTTTACGCGGCGTGAGGAAAGTCGTGCAGAACAGCGAAAACGCCTTGCGAAGAGACATGCACGTGCTCCTGGAAACCATCGCATCAACGCGAGCCGAGATCCTAGTCCTCCGCGAGGTCATCGAGCGCTCTGCGACGAATCAAACGATTCATGATCTCCGGGCTAAAATTGCCCATCCGGTCGGTGGTCTCGATCGACGGTCTCATCCATCGGCGACTCAAACTCGGTCAACCGAAAAAGCACACACTCTGGGCTCGTTCAACGCTCTCCTGGCCGCCGCGCAATGCCTACCACCGCCCCACCGAAGTCTGCCTTGAGCGCGTGTAGCTTCTCGCCTCGCCACTCAGTGCTCATCTGAATCCCGTGACGTTGAGATGTATTGATTGATTGTATGCTTGTACGGAGCCGAGCGCTCATCCGCCAAAAAGTGTCCGCTCGCGTCCCGCGAGCGCTCGCCGAGCGTCACATCGAGACGTTCCTCCGAGCGCCTTCGGGCGCGCGTGAAGGTCAGAACGTCACGTCCGCGTCCTCCGAGCGCGTCATCGTGGGGGTTCATCGGTGGAATTCGAACCGTCTCAAAACATGGCAAAGCAAGGGGAACAAGCGCATGCTGAACACGGCTCGGAATGGGACGCCTCGCGCGACGACGTCGCGATGCGAGACGCTTCATCGAAGGCAAACGAAGCGTCGACGTCTGAGAAGCGATGCAACGTGATCAGAGTGCGTCGAGCGCGATCATGAGCGACGCACGAGGAAGAGATTCGATTCGTTTCCCGCGACGCGCGACGGGGACGCGCTTCGAGGCGCGGACGCGATGGACTGACGACGAAACGTTCGTGATTCGACGCAGATCGGGACGACGAGAGACTCGAAAGAGATGGACGCGATCGGGATTCGCGTTCGATCGTGGGACGAATGGGAGATTCGAGACGCCGCGCGCGCGCACGGGGGATCGTACTCGTGGCGACCGGCGGTACGGTCGCAGTGGGCGTCCGGCGGAAGCGCGAGCCGCTCTTCGCTCTCGGCCTCGCCCGGGCGCGGTGAAGGGAGACAGAGCGTGCACAAGGTTGCGAGGCAGAAAGGAGTCTCGAGTGGGCGCACGTACACGAGTAAATACCGAGGCGTACACCAAACGTTCCCGACGGGCCGATGGGAGGCGCAGTTCAGGAGAAACGGCAAACCCACCTCGCTCGGATGCTTCGACAACGAGGAGGACGCGGCGAAGGCGTACGATCGAATGATGTTATGGTGCGAGATGCACGCGAGTGCGCTGGCGAACGCGCACGCGTCGCCGCAAAAGCAAGGCGCGTCGGCGTTAAACTTTGACGTCTCTGTCTACGCCGCCGACCTCAGAGTGCTGGAGAGCATGTCACAGGAAGATCTCACGCTAGAGCTCCGTAAGCTCGGTAGATCTCAAGGGTCGAACATCTTCCCTCTGAGCGCGTGAACGAGCGAATCAACTATTTAACGAATCACGTGGAGACGTTGCCGTTCGCGCCGTCGCGACGCGTCCCGCTCGCCGCCCGCCCGCGGCGCTTCACTCACCGGCGCTCGGTGATGTCCATCGGCCGTTGCGTCGCTCACGCATCGACCGCACGCGATCGTTTCGCTCGTCCCGTCGCTTCGTTCGCGCCCACGACGACGACGCGTCAGCGCGCTCGCGTCTCCGCGCTGCGCGCCATGTGCTCGAGCGATCGCGCCGACGCACCGCCCGCACACGCCCCGAGCTTTTACTCCAAGGCGATGCAAAGCGTGAACGCGGCCGGGATTAAGCTCTTCATAAAGTCCACGTTGACGGATCGCGCGCTGGCGATGCCGCAGGTGGCGTGTCGGGACGCGAGCGAGGTGGATTGGGCGCACCTGAAAGCGTTGGGATTTAAGGGCGTTATATTCGACAAGGATAACACGTTGACGACGCCATACGCGATGGAGATCAATGATAGGGTTAGGAGATCGTTGGAGTCGTGTAAAGAGGCGTTCGGGGAGAAAAACGTGGCGGTGTACAGTAACTCGGCGGGTCTGTATCAGTACGACCCAGATGGAAAGGAGGCGGACGCGATGGAGCGCGCGCTGGGGGTGCGATTCGTTCGACACGCGACGAAGAAACCGGCTGGGGACGTTGATGATGTGGTGGAGAACTTCCCCGGTTGCAATTCCGCTCGAGAACTGATCTTCGTCGGCGACAGATATCTCACGGACGTCGTCTTCGGCAACCGTCACGGGATGTTCACCATTCGCGTCGAACCGTTCACGCTGAGCGGCGAATCGCTCTCGATTCGCGCCGCTCGTAAAATCGAAGAGTCCGTCGTCGCCCTCTGGCGCTCGCTGGGCGTCGCCCCGAGACCCCACGAACGTCTCTTTCCCGGCGGCGTCTCGCTCGACGCCCAAAATCGAGCGCACTGGACCCTCATCGACGGCGAGCCCGCCGCCGTGAACCTCTCCAAGGTGCTCCATCGTTAGCAGTTTAGTCTCATTTCACCCTCGATCGCCCATCGTCGTCGCGTCGCTCGCGAAAGCCGTCATCGTCCCCCCTCGCTCGCGTCGCTCCCATCCGAAGGGACAGGCCCCTACTGCACACTCGGGTGACGTCGATTCACGTCACCCGCGCGCGCACTCCCGTCTCCGCACACCGCGACGCCTCGAGCGCACGCGAGACGCCCTTTAAAATGACCGCCGTGAGCTCCGTCGCGCACGTCGCCGCCGCGCGTCACCAAACGCCGCGGCGTCGAGGCGAGATCGTCGCGCACGCGCGACGATTCGGCGCCGCCGCCAGGTCGTCGAGCGTGAAAACGCGAGCCGTCGCCGAGCGTACGTGCGCGAGCGCGCGAAACGAACGATGACGAGAGAGAATAGAAAGCGCGCTTGAGCGTTCTGGAGGGGTTCGCGGACGATCGAGAGGCGGAAGGACGTCGTCGAGCGTGAACGCATCTTATCCGTAGACGCGCGCGGGGCGATAAAGCGCGAGAGACTGACCTGAAGTGAATTTTAACGCGAAGCAGCGGCGCAGAGCGGGAAGGCGACGGTGCGAGATGAGATTCGTAACATTGCCATCATCGCGCACGTCGATCACGGGAAGACGACGCTGGTCGACTCGATGTTGGCGCAGTCAAAGGTGTTTCGGGAAAACGAAAAGGTTGAGGAGCGCATCATGGACTCAAACGATCTCGAGCGCGAACGCGGGATCACGATTCTGTCGAAGAACACGGCGGTGACGTACAAAGATAAGAAGATCAATATCGTTGACACCCCGGGGCACGCCGATTTCGGTGGTGAGGTTGAACGCGTGTTGAACATGGTCGATGGCGTCTTGCTCTTGGTGGATAGCGTGGAGGGACCGATGCCGCAAACGCGTTTCGTGCTCAAAAAAGCGCTTGAAATCGGACTCAAGGTTGTCGTCGTCGTGAACAAGATCGATCGCGAAGGCGCTCGTCCGGATTACGTCGTCGATAATACGTTTGACTTGTTCTGCAACCTCGGCGCGACGGACGAGCAATGTGAGTTCCCGGTCATCTACGCCTCGGGCTTCAAGGGTATCGCCGGTCCGGAGCCGGATCAGCTCGCAGATGACCTCGGGCCGTTATTCGAGATGATCGTGAACGAAGTTCCAGGTCCGACCGCGGACGTCGATGCTCCGCTACAAATGTTGGTCACCAACTTGGATTACGACGACTTCAAGGGTCGTATCGCCCTCGGCCGTGTGCGCGCCGGTACCATGTCTAAGTCGACGAACGTCAAGATCGGTGTCCCGGGTAAGGACGCGCGCAACGGTAAGGTCAACGAGGTGTTCATTTACAATAACTTTGTCAGAACTGGTATCGACTCTGTCGGCGCCGGTGACATTTGCGCCATCGCGGGCCTCGACGACGTCATGATCGGCGAAACCATCATGGCTGACGGCGCTGAACCGCTCCCGACGATTGAGGTCGAAGAACCCACTGTTCGTATGGCGATGAGCGTCAACACTTCTCCGTTCGCGGGTCAAGAAGGTAAGTACGTCACCTCGCGAAACTTGAAGTCTCGCCTTGACCAGGAGCTCGAGCGCAACTTGGCGCTCAAGGTTGAACCGGGTGACACCGCCGATACCTTCATCCTCTGCGGTCGTGGTGCGCTTCACATCACCATTTTGATTGAAACAATGCGACGCGAAGGGTACGAGTTCACCATTGGCCCGCCGGAAGTCATCACGAAGCGTGACGAGAGCGGCTCCAAGATTGAGCCGTATGAAGAGGCATTCATCGAAGTGCCCGAAGAGTACACCGGATCCTGCGTTGACATGCTCTCCAACCGCAAGGGCCAAATGCTTGATCTCCAAACCGATGACAAGGGAACGACCAGACTCAAGTACAAGGTCCCAACTCGGGGCTTGCTCGGCTTGCGTAACGCCATTTTGACCGCCACGCGCGGTACCGCCGTCTTGAACACCAACTTCGACGAGTACGGGCCGTGGTCCGGCGACATTTCGATGCGCGATAACGGTTCCCTCGTCGCGCACGAAACCGGCCAAGTCACCTCCTACGCCATCCAAAGCGCGCAAGATCGCGGTATCTTGATTGTCAAGCCGGGCATCGACGTCTACGAAGGTCAAGTCGTCGGCATTCACCAGCGCGCCGGCGACTTGAAGGTGAATGTGTGCAAGAAGAAGGCGGCCACGAACGTTCGATCGAACAAAGACGCCACTGTGGTTCTCAACGAGTCCAAGGAAATGAGCCTTGATGACTGCGTCGAATACATCGCTTTCGACGAGCTCGTTGAAGTCACGCCAAAGAGCATTCGGATCTGCAAGAACCCGAAGATCAACACTAAACGACAAAAGAACTAGTCGGGTAGGATCGCGCTCATGTATCTCTTCTTTCATTGTTTTCTCTAGAGTACTAGTGTATAGCCGAGAAGTTTGCGCCTGTCATTTCTAATTTTGCTCATCCACATTCAGTCCTCGTCGCTCTCCACCTGCTCTGTCGATATCTCGACTGGCGGGAACATTTCCTCCTCGGCGCCGTACAATTTTGCGAACGCACGCTCTGCTGCGTCAACAGCGCCCTTGTACGTCAAAAGCTCGTCGGGAAAGGGGCACTGCGCGGCGTTGGACGCAACGCATTCCACGTCGTCCGGGACGCCACATCGTCGAGAATGCATCGTTCCCCACATGACGATCGGCTTCTGCGCGCCGTCATCGAAGACACTCGCTACTGTCGACGTCTCTTCGCACGACCGAGACACCAATACGTCCAGTGCGGCGTTCACGTTCGAGTACGCATCGTCTTCATGCTCATCAACAACGTTTGAAAGGTACAGGAGATACACGCCATCCGGACAACAGCCTGTGTTTGAACTCATCTGAAGCGCGCGCACGGCCGTCGACTGCGTTTTTCGCACGGTTCCCGGTGGAAAAACGATCAAGACTTCGCCGAAATCGCGAACGACGGGTCCATCTAACACACACACGACGTGAACCAATCGCGGGCCATCCGAGAGTTCAGGCGCCGCCCCGACGAAACGCTTGACACGAATCTCCTGCCCACCCTTAGATACCACAGTTGCGACCGCGTTCGAGTCGATATCAACCCTTTGCACGCCCTGACGCAAGACGTACGTCGCCCCGCTCACGGCTCCCGCTCGACAGAACGCCTGCGGAAGGTCCCCAGTTCCGTATGTTGGAATTAGGCACGCACCAAACTGCGGCCCATACTTTCCCACGCTCAGCGCGTACGTCTTCAGATCCTCCATTCCTTGACCCGCGTCGCTCCCTGCTCTCGTTTGCAAGGCTAAACCGTACGTCACTGTCGCCGCCAGAGCGTCGCTCAGACCCTGTCGTCGCAAATAACTTTCCATGGTTTCGTTTGGCTCGACTCGAAGCGCCTCCGCCGCCTCCGCGCCCGCGTCGTCCTCTCCGAACGCTCCCTCCCCCCACTCACTCCCGGGCGCGCCCGCGGGTACGTTTGTTTCTTCTCCTGACGTCCCACTCCTCCGCTTCAACACATCGTCCCGCATCGCTACGATTCGAGTCCGTTTCAGAAACCGCATGAGCGCCCGCTTCTCAGCGCCCGTCATCGACGCGTCGGCAAACATCTCACGTCGATCGCTCGCGACGACTCGAAACCCACCTTGGCCGTACACAAAGGTCTTCTCGATCGCTTTGAACGCCAAGTACTTGTGTGCGCCGCTTCTGATCATCGCGTCCGTGAACGCGTCCGCCCCGAGCGTCGCTCGCGGCGCGCACAGATCCACGTTGTACCCTCGCGTTGACGGTCTCTCGCCCGCGTCCGTCGTCCATCGTCCGAACGTGTTTGCATTCGTCGCACACGTGCTCGTGAACGCGTCGAACGCGCCCGTGGATGCTTCGAAAGCGCCGAAAGCGTCGCCGTATTGATTATTTTCATCCAAAACCAAAACACTCTCTCCGCGCTTGGCGCACGCGCACGCGATCAACGACTGCACTAACCCGGTGCCCTGGACGAGGACGTCGACCTCGCTCGGGAGATCGTGTGCGTCGGCGTGCGCGTCGGGCATGACTCGGAGTGAGGCGTGGAGAGGCACGCACGCGACGGTTACAGAGCTGGGTGGGAAATGCGATATGCATCGAGCGCGCGCTCTATACGATCGAGATTGATGTTAACTGTACAGTCACAATGCGCTATCGCTTGGACTTGGACGCGTCCGCGGCACGCTTCTTCTCCTTTGCCTCGGCCACGGCTTTGCCGTAGACCGAGAGAGGATCGATGACTTCATAATCGTCCACGGACGCCATGTACGCGCCGGCGTCGTTGCGCTTGGCTTCGGGGACGAACGCAAGCTTGTGAGAGCGCCAGTCGTTCGCGTCGTCATCGTCGTCTGCGTCGTCGTCCATGTAATAGAGACCTTGAGGGACGAATCGAGAGACGCCGGCTCGGCCGGTTTCTTCGTCGGCGGCGCTCGCCGCGGATGGCTCGTTCCCGCTCTCCTTCGCCGGACCCTTGAGAGCGGCGTTGAAAGCGGCCAACCGCTCGAGAGTCTCCTTCTCACGATCCTGCGTGCGCGATTTTCGCGCTCTCGCCTCGAGTCGTTGCACTTGACCGCTCGTCAGAAGCGCCGCCTCCTCGTCTCGCACCGCGCGCTTCCCGAGCCCGAGCTTCTTCAGCTTGGTCACCTCGCGACGTTTGCGTTCCTCTGCCCTAGCTTGTTTCTCTCTTCTACGCTGTTCCTTCATCTCTCGCTTATCCGCGCGCTCTTTCGCGTCTCGCTCAATCTCTCGCGTGCCACCATCCACGTCACCCATCTCGCGACGTTTTGCCAACATCTTCTCTCGCATACGATCCTGAAACGACGCCGCGTCAGCGTTGGCGCCGTTCTCCTCCACATCCCAGGATCCACCACCGCGCCCGTCGCGCCCGTCAGCCCCCTCTTCGGTTTCTTTCTTACGCTCACGCGCCGCCGCCTTTTCGATCGCCGTGCGCTTGAGCGCCTCGCGCGTCTCCTCCGCATCCGCGCTCACGAGCGTGTCATCGCCACCAACATCGTGCGAAGATAAAATTCCTCTCGGCGCTTTTGCAAGCGCCTGTTCCTCGTCCGCGGCTTCTTCGCCGAATGATAAGAGCGCGAGCTTCTTCTTCGGCTTTTTCTTCCTTCTAAAATCTTCTGCGTTCTCCACGTCCTCCGCGCTCGCCACTCGCACCGCGCGTGTGATCTCTGGAAATGGGTTCATCAGCACCTCTGTTCGTACGACTCTCGGCGCGGGATCGATCGGTCGATCATCCCGATCCGTCTCGCACTTTCCGATTTCCATCGCGTTGTACATCGTCGCGCCGACCAATTTCCCAAAAATAGTGTGCTTCTTGTTCAACCACTCGCACGCCTCCAGGGTGACGAAAAACTGACTCCCATTCGTGTCCCTCCGCCCCGCGTTCGCCATCGCGACGCGGCCTCGGGTGTTAAATCGTAGTCGCGAGTGAAACTCATCCGCGAACGTCTCCTTCCCATCCCCCAACGCGCTCGTCCCACCCCTTCCCGTGTTCGACGGGTCGCCGGTTTGAATAACAAAGTTTTCCACGCACCGCGTGAACGCACAGTCGTCGTAGTATCCGTTTAAGCAGTGCTGCACGAAGGATTTACACGCCATCGGCGCTTCTCTGCTAAACAACTCAACCTCGAGCTCGCCGTGCGTCGTCGTGATCACAACCTTACCCTCCGTCGCGGGTTCATTGACGTATATCTGCGACATGTCGCGGCGTCACGGCGTCGCGGCGACGACGCGCGACGGAGTGTCGCGAAGAGGGCGGTGACTCGGCCGCCGCCGGGACGAACGTCGACCCGCAGACGTCGACGCGCGCGCGCACGCCGCGGACATGCCCGCGGACGGGCGCACCGAGCCCGAGCGGCGCGTCGCCGCGATCGCCGAGATCGTCCGCGCCCTGATCGCGGACACGGGCGCGGGCGCGTCGAAGGATTCGAAGAGAAATGGATTCGGTGTCAACCTGAACGCGTTGAAAAACTCGATAGCTCGCAAGCACGCGCTGTCGAGATCGCCGAAACTCACCGAACTCATCGCGGCGGTGCCGGTTGAGCATCGTGAGGCGCTGATGCCGCGCCTGAGGGCGAAACCGGTGCGGACGGCGAGCGGGGTCGCGGTGGTGGCGGTGATGAGCAAACCGCACCGGTGCCCGCACATCGCGACGACCGGGAACGTGTGCGTGTACTGCCCGGGTGGACCGGATTCGGATTTTGAATATTCGACGCAGTCGTACACCGGGTACGAGCCGACGTCGATGCGAGCGATTCGTGCGAGGTACGACCCGTACGCGCAGAGCCGAGGACGGGTCGATCAGTTGCGGAGGTTGGGCCACGCGGTGGATAAAGTGGAATTTGTATTGATGGGAGGGACGTTCATGAGCTTGCCGACCGATTACAGGGATTATTTCATCAGGAATTTACACGATTCCCTGAGTGGGGCGTCGAGCTCGTGCGTGGACGAAGCTGTGAGGGCGTCAGAGCAGAGTCGGACCAAGTGCGTGGGCTTGACGATCGAGACGCGACCGGATTATTGTCAGTCCCCGCATCTGCGTCAGATGCTCTCTTACGGGTGCACGCGATTGGAGATAGGATTACAGAGCATATACGAAGACGTCGCTCGAGACACCAATCGCGGGCACACCGTGGCGGCGGTGCAAAAGTGTTTCGAGTTGGCGAAAGACGCGGGGTTCAAAGTCATCGCGCACATGATGCCAGACCTCCCGAACGTAGGGATGGAGCGCGACTTGGAGTCGTTTCGCGAGTTTTTTGAATCGCCCGATTTCAGAACGGACGGTTTGAAGCTCTACCCCACGCTCGTTATCAGAGGCACCGGGTTGTACGAACTCTGGCGCACGGGCAAGTATAGAAATTATCATCCGGAGCGACTCGTAGATTTGGTCGCTCGTATCCTCGCCCTGGTCCCACCGTGGGTTCGAGTGTATCGAGTGCAGAGAGACATTCCGATGCCTCTCGTCACCGCTGGAGTGGAGAAAGGGAACCTGCGCGAGCTCGCCATGGCGCGCATGGCCGATTTGGGACTGCGATGCAGAGACGTGCGAACGCGCGAGGTCGGTTTGCAGGACATACACAATCGCGTCGCTCCAACCCACGTTGAGCTCGTGCGACGAGATTACGTCGCCAACGGAAGTTGGGAGACGTTCTTGTCCTACGAGGACCCTCGACAGGACATTCTCGTCGGTCTCCTTCGTCTTCGTAAGTGCGGACGAACCGCCGCCAAGACGTCACCGGTGCTCAAGGGCAAGTGTTCAATGGTGCGCGAGCTTCACGTCTACGGCACCGCCGTCGCCGTACACTCGCGAGATAAGGGACGATTCCAACACCGAGGCTACGGCACTCTTCTCATGCGCGAGGCTGAGCGCATCGCTCGCGAGGAGCACGGCTCTGCCAAACTCGCCGTCATATCCGGCGTCGGCACTCGACACTACTACCGAAAACTCGGGTACGAGCTCGAGGAAACGTACATGGTCAAACAATTATAGCCTAGCCACTGTTGTACATCAGTCAGCGATTCATGTCATTCGACCGACGACGATATCACTCAAATCGAGCCGCTCGCCGCTCCGCGCGTCGCCGCAGTCCGCGACTCTCGCGCCGCTCGCCATGAGCGTGAACCTCGACCTGAGCTTTCTTCACGACACCGAACGAGGAGCGGCGTCGACAAAATACCGCGATGAGGCGTGCGTTACACCGACCGATCGCCCTCGAACGACGCGAACGCGTTGAGACTCGCGTTGAGATCTCAGATTACGAAAAACCAACGCAGATCGACTGATCGCGCGCGTTTCCGTCCCCGTACGCAGGCTTCAGGGCGTTTCGAACAGCGTGCACGCGAGTAATTTCACCGCACCCGCGGTCGAGGACGTACGTCGAGCGATTCGAGCGCGTGAAGGGACGGATAGGTTGAGAGATTCGCGATCGAGACAACGGTTTTAGGTCAAGGCTGCGTCGAGACGCGCGAGTGGAGTGAGTATTGATGACTGACGAGTTGCGTGACGTTTGAACGGCGCAGTTCGACGCGTTTCAGAGGGAAGTGATCAATTACGTGAAACCGGCGCACGGGACGACGACGTTGGGGTTCATTTTCGAACACGGAATCGTGATCGCGGTGGACTCGCGCGCGTCGCAAGGGCCGTACATCTCGAGTCAGACGGTGAAAAAGGTTATCGAGATCAATCCATTTTTGCTTGGTACCATGGCGGGTGGGGCGGCAGACTGTCAGTTTTGGCAGAGAAATCTCGGTATTCAGTGCCGGTTGCACGAGCTGGAGAACGGGAAGAGAATCACTGTGCGGGCGGCGTCAAAGTTGTTGGCGAACACGCTTTACAGCTATAAGGGACGCGGACTTTCGATGGGGACGATGATCGCGGGGTGGGACCTCAACGGACCTGGGTTGTATTACGTCGACAGCGAGGGTACGCGCTTGAAGGGTCAGCGCTTCAGCGTCGGTTCAGGTTCGCTCTTCGCGTACGGGGTGCTCGACCAAGGCTACAGATGGGACCTGAGTGTGAAGGAGGCGTGCGAGCTGGGACGGCGCGCTATCTACCACGCGACGTTCCGGGACGCGTTCTCTGGTGGTACGGTGAGCGTGTATCACGTCGGCAAGAACGGCTGGACGAAGGTCACCGGTGATGACGTCGGCGAGCTGCACTTCCATTACTATCCATCAGAAAAGATTGACGAGGACAGTCTCGGCGGCCTCGGCAAAAAGGAGGCGGAAGAGCGCGCCGCCGCGGAGGCGACCGCGATGGAAACGTGATTTAGAAGCACTGTACAGTCAACCTAGAGTTTGAAATCGATCATTTACAGCTATTTGATCTAGACCTACTCGTCGTCCCCTAAGTCGTCGTGGAGATTTCTAAAGAGCGGACTCTTTGGCTTTATCGGAGAGACCCCAGGCGAGCGCAATGGACGCGCAACCGTGAGCGGCGTCGGTGCGGGCCTCGCCACGGGTGATCCGGGGGTGAAACTCGAAATACTCCCTGGGGTGACGAAGAAACTTCTACTGCGAGTCGTGCTCGCCGGTGATCGAGCGGGCGAAGTCGGCGTTGGTGAACCAGATACGCTCGTCTCCAGTGACATCAAACGCTGAGACAATGACTTCACTTGCGACTTGCTTGACGACATCGCTTCGTCTTGTAATCTCGTAAGCGCCTCGTACCGCTCAATTTGCGTACGAAGCTCTTGCAGTTCTTCAAAGGCAACTTTTTTTGTTTCCAGTGCCACGCGAAGCTCGCGTTCGAGTTCAGCGATTCGCTGCTCCGTCTCGTCTCGTGCGCGGCGCGACGACATCTCCATCCCTCGTTTGATCGCCTCGATTTCGAGCTGCGCAGTTTCTTCCGCGAGCTTAACTGCACGCGCCGTCTCCGCCCTAGCGTCTTCGAGTTGTTTCTTGAGAGCTTCGACGGCGGCACTCGCGGCCGAAGAGTCGAGTTTGAAACGTTCGCTACCATCATCATCTTCGTCGCTCGATCGGCCACGCGCGCTGAGTAATCTCCCAAGATCCTGTACGTTTGCCTCGGACTCTTCGAGCTTGCGTTTCATATTTTGGAGCTTTTCTTCGAACGTCGAGCGCTCAGCCTTGAGTTGAGCAACGTGCTCATTCGCGGCAACAAGCGTCTCTTCCATTGCGTCTCTCTCCTTCACCAGAACCTCGGCGCGCGCGTGGGCTTCTCGTGCGCTCATTTCCGCCACCGCCTTCGCTTTCTCCGCCTCGATCGAGCGCTGCGTCGAAGATCTGATTGACTTCTCGGATGTGTTTGCCGCGGCGCTTCGCTCCGTCTCAATCACTTGTTCTATCTCAAGCGCGTGCACCCTTTTGAGATCGGTAATTTCGTCTTCGAGTCTCTTCACTTGACGAATAAGTTGAATCACGCGTTCTTCGCTTGAGGCGCGCAGCCGCGCCTCGTAGTACTTCGTCGTGATATCGAGCGCCTCGCTTGCGTCTCGAGCGCATGCCTCGCGAAGCGCTTCGACGTCCTTGGAGACGGTTTCCCTCATGGTAATGGCGATCTCTTTAGCCCTTCGACTCTCCGACGTGAGATGAGCAATTCTCGCGCGCAATATCATTATACTTCGCTTGTGCCCGCCGACGTCGCCCAAAACCTCCTCCAAAGACGACACCTTGACGGTCAAATCGCGGTTGGCGATTTCCAAGCGATTGATTTTGGCTCGAGCTTCGTCTCGCTCGCCCTCGGCGTTTCGTAAATCACGACGCGCGCTCCCCAAAGCTTCATCTCGGGCGTGTATGACGTCCCTTGCATTTGTGAGCTCGACGCGGAACGACTCTATCTGCACCGTCGTTTCCTCCATGTCACGTTTAACCGCGTTGTGTGCATGCTGCGCGCTCGAACGCTCGCGATTCGCTGTCGCGCACGCGTCTTCCAATTCCTCCACTCGAGCCCTTAGCGCGCTCACCTCTCGCTGCGCCTGCACTTCCCTCGACGATGCCAATGCACCGAATCTCCCGAGAGACTCGCGCGCGCGCTTCACGGCGTCTCTCTCGGCGTCCGCCACGAGCTTTTCGTAGTGCCCGACTCGTGCCGCGATGCGCTCCTCCACGTGCGCCGACGCCTCGTTCACCTCGCGCATTCGCATCTCCGCAGCATCGCGAAGGGCGTTGATTTCAACCATCTGCGCCTCCCGCCAAGCCGTTCCTGACGCTGTGATTTCCTCCAAGCGTTCTTTGCTTGCCGCGCGCTCCTCGTCTAAACGTCTGGCGAGTTCCTCCACGCGCGCATTCGCTACGCGCTCCCTCTCGGTCGCCGCGTTTGCTTGCTCTCGCGCCTCATCACGTTGACGCAGTACTGCCGATGCGTGTGCGCCCAAATCTTCGTACTTCTTCCTCGTGTGCGCGTGCGAAGTGCGCTCGCGAGTCAACTCGCTCGCGAGCGCCTCCATGTGCTCCCGACTCGCTCCGAGCGCCGACATCGCGCGTCCGCTCACCCCTCGCGGCGACTTCGACGCCGACACATTTATCGTTGCCCGTTTCCGCCCACCCCTCACCCGCAACGGATCACCCGAGGGAAGATTCGATCGTAACTCCTCGACGAACGACGCGTCCGCGTCTCCGTCCCGAACCGAAGCGTTCGCCGCGCGAGCAAACCGCGCGCTTAAATCCACACCATCTTCCACGCGAGCGTCCTTCGACGACGGATTCACCGATGTTCGCGGCGAAATCCCGATTTCACGCTCGTTCTCAACCTCTCTACGAACGCGCTCGGCGTACGCCCCCGCGCGCCGCACGTACGCGCTGCTCGGCTCAAGCCGCGTCGGCGACCACCTCGGCACCTCGTCGTCGCTCTCCGAGAACTCGGACTCGATCCCGCGCAGTATCTTCTCCACGAGGTTCTCCGCGCCCGACATAGGTGTTCACGCGTCCGCGAACGTCTCTAACGGGGCGCAGAGATGCGAAATCGATTCAAATGTGAAATCGAAATCAAACTTCGGAATCTCGTTTTCGCCTCGACTTTGTCGATTTAACCCCGCACACGGCGATGACGCGCGCGCGTATCCTTCGTTTACTCTAGTTTCACGTTATGCGCCGCACCGATCGACACCACGGGACGATCGCGCGCGTCACGCACTGAAGATGTGTGAGGCGACTCGAGCTGTCGCCTCGCGCGCGCGTTCGATGCGGAAAAGACTTCACTGCGCATCACATGTCTATTCGGTCCTCACTCTCTATGGGCTAATTTTTGTAACTTATTCGCCCGCGCTCTAGCGTCCGCGAACTCTCGCCTCAGAGCGGCGTAGGCTTTTCTGGGCGTCACGCCTTTGGCCAGTAACGTTCGTCGATGCGGCGCGTGCGACTTTAACAAAGACATTTGCGCCAGGCGCAAATCCAAAACCTTCGCCAAGAACTCCATCAACTCCGAGTCGCAAGCGTGCGCGGCGTTCGTGACGTCTACGACGACCGCGCTGGCGGTGATCTTGCTCACCGCGCGCGATTGACTTCGCGGTTTAATCTCTAAATCTATCTGCGTCGCGCCCGCGCCCGCGGTTCCCACGCACGGCGGCGGCGGTCCCGCGTCCTCTCCATCTCTCCCGTCTCCGACCTCGCGCTCGTAATCGGCGTAATCAAACGCTGATAACGCCCCTGGGTGCACGTACAGCGTCCCTCCATCGTCCAAAACCTTCGCGTCATCGTCGTCATTCGTCTTCCGCGTCCCGGTCGTCGCCTCGACGTACCCCACCGGGACATCCCCGCACCTCAAACGTCTCCGTCTCTCCATCGTCCCGTCTTTACGCTTGATCGCGATCACTTCTCGGTCGATCGTCTTCGCCGTCTTGGTCGCGTATCGCGTTCGATCGATGATCAGCGCGTCGTCCGTGCGTCTTCTCGGTGCGAGCTCCAAGTTTGCCGTGGTGGTCAAGACGTGTTCACCGCAGAATTTACAGTAATACGTCCTGAATTTCAGCGCAGAGGCGTCGTCGGCGTCGAGCTCGGCGTCCTCGGAGGTGAAGACGTGCGCGGACGGGCGCTTTTTGCTCATTTTTGAGAGATGTGTGCGTCGCGGAGTGAGCGCGCAGAGGCGCGGAACGGGCGTGTCGGGCGTCAAATATCGATGCGGCGATGGATTCTCGGAATGCGCTCGAGGGCTTCTACTGACTACCGATTTTACAATAAATGTGAATTTCGGGCGCGCTTGACGTCGGCGACGCGGGCGTGGGCGTCCTCGAGTCTTTGGGAACGACGGGCGCTTCGCGCGCGGCCGGCAGCTCCGGCGGAACGCGTGGAGACGAATCTGGCCCAGGCGTCGCACGCAGCGCGTCGCGCTGCGAACTCCTTAGAGTCGGACACGCGTGAGAGGTTAATGGGGACGACGCGGAGAGCATCCATGGGGCTGTCGTCGACGGTGATGAAGACATCGTCCATGAGCGCGAGCCCGGCGAGTGAAGCCGCAAGCGGGTCTCGGAGTCGCTTGGACGGCACGTTGAGATGTCTTGCGACGCGTTCGTCGCGATTCTCATCGGTGTCTAAGTCGTCACCGGCGTCGTCTTCGTCCATCGCGAGCGGATTTCTGCTCTTTATGACGTTTTTCAACGCCGCGGAGAGACTCGCCGGAGCCGGTGGCGGCGCGGCGCGACGAGCAACGAGTCGCGCCTCACGCGCGCCCGCGTGCGCCTCCACATCCAAGATGCGGAGTTCGAGCTTTGGTCCTTGCGCTCTGCCGGGTTTGCACGTCATCTGCACCCAAACCGTTTGAAGGAGAGAGTACGAGCGAAGAACGACACCGTCGCTCGAACGAACAACTTCTAGCACGTCATCCGAGCGCCGAAGTCGCGTGCCGGCGACGCCGACGACCGGCGACGCTTGCACCCATTTCGTGACGGATTCCGAAGAATTATATCCCGGAGAGACGTCCACGAGATCGCTCTCTCGGAGTTCTTCAACGGTGTTGCCGTCATCATCAACAAGTCGGACGGGCGCCTTGATGTGAAACGATGGTAGGAACACCATTAGGCCATCGTCTCTGATCTCGTGAACGACGGCGGGTTCGATCATGGGATTCTCACGAAGGAGCCAGAGAAGATATATCTCACCGCAGCGCGATTGCGCGCGTTTCGAAGCACGATTGCGTTCGTTCAAGTGCTCCGCCAAAGAATCGAGGCCGCGTCTGGTAGCATCTTCCGTCGCCTTCTTCTCCATCTCCGTCGCCTCAACGGCGGCGATGAGCTGACGATGAACCACGATGTCAGCGTATCGCCGAATTGGAGACGTAAAGTGCGTGTAATACGTCAGAGCAAGGCCATAATGTCCGAAACTACTCTCAGTGGCGGAAATCGACCCCGAGCTCACATATTGAGCCTCAGACATCGCGCGTGTGGCCAGGCCCTTGAACAAGGTCGTCACTTCGGGATCACACTCGTTCGCGATGCGCGCAAGCGATGCATTCAAGGCTTCTCCGCTAGAGCAATCGAGCTTGACGCCCTTGGTAGCGGCGAGTCGGGAGAGCTCGGCGAATCCATCCTGTCGCGGCGGTGCATGGCGCCGAAGCAACGCGCACGATGGGAACACCGAGTGCGTCGCGCGCGCCGCCGCACTGTTTGCTAGAATCATCAACTCGGCGACCACTCGCATCATTGGCACCTCTGATTTCTGAATCACCTCCGTCGGGCTCTTCGTCTGCGCGTCCGTCTCAAATCTCAACTCAGCGCTCTCCAATTCCACCGCTCCGTGAGCCACACGAATGGCGTTCGTCTTGTTCGCGAACGCGACGAGCGTCTTCAAGTCCTCGCGCACGACGGCGATGTCATCTTCGCCCTCGAATACCGTTGATCCGTCGACCGGGGGCGGTTTCCCATCGTAAATCGCTTGCGCCTGATAGTACGTCATTTGGTGCCTTGAATGAATTACCGTCCGTCCGAACCACACGTCGACGACGTCCAGATTCTCGTCGAGCGTCCATACGCAACTCATCGCCAGTCGATCGCGCTTCTCCAGTAGCGACGCCAAGTTTTCGCTTAGCAAACTCGGAAGCATGTCCAAGCGTCGGTCCACCAAGTACACGGTGGTCCCACGCGTCTGCGCCTCGTGATCGAGCGTCGTTCCCGGTTGCACAAAATACGACACGTCCGCGATGTGCACGCCGATCTCGAACGCGCCTCCGTTCGCTCCCCGTTCACTTTGGGGCACTGCTCTGACGCTTAACGCGTCATCAACGTCGGTGCACCCGGGTGGATCGATCGAACACGCTCTGTGGTGACGCAAGTCACGTCGCGTCTCCAGCTCTTCGCGAGGGACGACCCAATTCGTTCCCTCCCGAGGAAGCTCCGCAAGCGCTCTCGCGCCGAACGGCTCGGCCGGGATTTCATGTCTCGCTAATAACGCCGCCATCTCGCCATCGACGTCACCGACGTCGCCGAGCACTCTGATTAAGTGCCCGTTCGGGTACCGTTGATTCTCTCTCCATCGATCGACGCGCACGACAAAGCGCTTGCCGACCAATTCGTTCGCCCGGCGCGTCAACAACTTGATCTTCACAATCTTCCCATCCATCGGCACGCACAGCGCGCCGTTGCGTTTTGCGTGTGGGTTTCGCGTTATTTCTTCCTCATCGATCGAATCTAAGCACGCGACGACGTCCATGACCTCCCGACGCAAGATGCCGACGATTTTCCCGGTTCGCGTCTTCGGCGACGACGACACGGACGCCGATAAATCGCTCTCGCGCACACCCTCGTCCTCGAGCACGGTGTTGATCATCGACGCGCACCATTCGCTCTCAGGCGCAACCTCGACGGCGACGACGTCGCCGTGCATCGCTCGATTCATCGCGTGTTTGGATGGAATGAAAACGCCGTCAACATGTCCTTCACACTTGACGCCAAGCGCCTTCACCTTGAGCACGCCCTTTACCAAAACCCCCTCGCTGAGACCGAGCTCTACATCTCTCTCATTCCAATGTGCCTCATAATTCGTTCCGGTGGACGTCGACGCGACGGCTGAATCACCTTCCATTTCATCCTCGGCGTCTCTCGCCGCCTCGTACGCCGCTCTTGCCGCCTCGCCCTCTGAACCACCACAAAATTGCTCGATAAACCCCTCGACGCTCAACACGACAACGCCCTCGGGGAAAACATCGCGTGCTCCAACATCATCCGCCGCATTCGCCGCATTTGCCGCTTGCGCGTCGGAGACGACGACAATCGGGAACTTTCCTCGGACTTTCTTCGCGTAGTGCGCCGCGCACGCGACCTCCCGAGATATCGAACTCGACCGCATCGCTCGTACCACCTCGACGCAGTGCTCATCGTCGAACACAAAGACACTTCGATTCTTCCCCATCGCTCGCGAATCGCCCTTTATCGACCTCGTCATTGACGGTAATCCGCCGCTCCCGCCGCCGCCGCTCCGCCCGCCCAACCGCCGCGCGTGCGCCCTGGACGCGATGACGTCCCTCACCACCCCGCTCGCGAATACCTCGGGGTACTTACGAAATGCGCATAAATCCGGAACGACGTACGCGCGACACCCTTGCTCGCGCGAGCGTAAGAAGTCGCACACGCCGAGCGCGGCGTTGAGCTCCGCGTGCGCGACGCACTCGGGCGAACCGCACGCGACGTCTCTCCTCGCGTACGTTGACCGTACGAGACGCGCGACGTCGCGGTCGCGGTCGACGCCGGACGGGCCGGCGTCTTCGGCGCCGCCGAGGGCGACGCGCATGGACAAAGCGAGAGTCACTCAGTGCGGCGACGCGCGACCGGGACGCGGTACGCGTGTCGACGATTCGTTGAGCGAACGAATCGATGCGATGTCGCTCAGCATTATTCTACACGGTTCATCGCGCGCTGGACGAGAGGGTGCGCGCGTGCTATTCGAGATCTAAGTTGTTCATCATTCGCGGATTTCACGTTCCGGCGTACGCGCACGCCGATAACATCCTCTGCGCCCCTCTGAAACTCTCCGCGAACGGATTCACGCCACTGTCACCGTTGAGCCATCGCTGTCGCGCGCCTCCGGGATTCAGCGTGAGCACGGTCCGTCCCCACGTCGTTAACACCTCCATTCGTTCTCTATGCACGACGCACACCGTCGGCAGCACGTTCACGCCGAGCGCCCGTAAGATTGGATTCAGCGTCCTCGATCGATCGAACGTCTCGCTCGCATCGGCGCACCTGTAGAATTTATCCTCCCTCAAATCCTCGTACGCGTTCTCTCCGTCGCACGCGATCGCGACGACGTCGACGACGTCCGCGTTCGCCGCCCGGAACCGTTCCAACGTCGGCGCGAAGAGCTTACACGCCCCGCACCCATCTCGCGAGAAGTACGCGATCATCAGCGGCTTCGTCGCGTCCAAATGCACCGCTCCATCGTTCGCGTCCTTCACCGGCAGCGTCAACAGCGCTCGCGCCGTGCTCGACGCCGTGAGTCGCCGCGTCGCGCGGTCTCCGTGAGATGCTTCGTGTTCGTGCCCGCACGACGCCCCGCACGCGTCTCCCGCCCGTTTCCCGGTGCCGCGACACGCCTCGCACGCGCTGAACCCCTCCGAGGCCGCGATCGACCCCGCGCCCGCGCACCGCGAGCACGTCGACGCCTCCATCGACGCGACGCGCGGGTGCGAACGAATGCCGCGCACCGAAAGGCGTCGACGCGAAAGGCGTCGGCGGTCCCCAAAGGTGACGTCGCCTTTGGAAATTCTTTCCACCGATGGACGAGCACCGATCGAAGTCTTCGTGAATCGTCAGATCTCCGCGAGCGACGCTCGCCGCGCGTCGACGCGCACATGGAGGTCGCCGATATCGTCGCCAGACCGGTCAAGGAGTTCGCCAAGGACAGCGCGAGACTGGTGAAGCGATGCACCAAGCCGGACGCGCGTGAGTTTTGGATGATTGCTCGACGAACGGCGACCGGGTTCGTGATCATGGGGTTCGTCGGTTTCTTCGTGAAACTCATCTTCATCCCGATCAATAACATCATCTTGAGCTCGTAGACGGGATGGGATGTCCACGGGGTGGGTTCGGGAGACGCCTCGGGCGCGGGTGAGGCGTCGACGGGGGAGCGAGTGGACGATCGAGACGGATGGAGCGCGCCGGAGCGCGGCGCCGGGCGTGAGAGATCTCGAGTAGTCGCGCTCGGAGCGTCACGACGTCGCGCGAGGAGTCGTTCGTGTGTTCGAGCGTAGTAGTCTTAACCGTTCGCGTTCGTCGGAGCGTTGTAAAGAAATCGATGAAGCGATCGATCGCCGCGCGTCGCGCGCGCAGAGGACGAGGTGTCCAATCCACGGGACTCCGGTATGAGTCATGACTCGCCAAAACACGAGTACACCGGAGCACACCACCGGACCGCGCGTCATCGTTCGACGCGCGCGCGTTCGTGGCCGCGCGTCTCACCGTTCGAGCGTCACCGAAGGCGCAAACCGTACCGTCCGCGTCGCCCATCGCGCGATCGGCGGCGCGCGCGCGGACGACCGAGCGTCCAGCGCGCGATCGGTGCGTGAACACCAAATAGTGTGTCAACACCCAAAGCTTTCGGAAACGGTCGAGTTCGGACGGCATGGCGCGCATCGATAGGGCCGAGAGGGCGCCGTTACTCGCGACGAAGACGACGTCTCGCGACGTCGAGGTCGGGGCGGTCGAGAGGGAGAGCGAGCGAGCGAGCTGGAAGGCTGGATGGAGTCGAGGGAAGGCGCTCGCGGCGTGCGGCGCGGCGGCGCTCGGGTTGGCGTGCGCGGTCGGGGTGAACGTCGCGTCGAATGGGTCAGAGGGTGTGATGTTGGAACACGCAGATCTGGGTGGTCGACAGGCGAGCGCGTCGATGGCGTCGGCGCGGCAGAGGACGCCTGCGGCTCAAAGACGGGCGCAGCGCGTCGCGACGAGAAAGCAGTCGAGGGTGACGGCGCGAGCGAAACTCGCGGCCGCGGACTCCGAAAAGGTATACGAGGAGAGCGTACGCAGAAAGCTTCTTCGTCGAGACGCCGTGATTCGCTCGAGAGGAGAAGAAAAGATCAAGGAGGTGAAGAAGGATGCCGAGACGCTCATCGCGGACATTCACGCCAGGGTTGAACAGCGGGCGAAAGCCATCGAGAAGACGGCGCACCACGAAGGTACTGCGAGCGCGCTTCAGCAGGCGCAGCGATCGATCGATGAGATGAGAAAGGAGACGGAGAAGCGCGTCGCTCTGATCAAAAACAAGACGGCGAGTCGAATCAAGATGATTGAGGAAGTCACGGAAAAGCACACGTCATCGCACGCATCTTCGGAGTCACTCAAGCACTCTTCTCATTCGCACGCAACAGCGACGCACGCTGTTAAACTCGGCGACGCTGAGAATCCTGCGGCGAGCACTGAAGATGCCGCTCTGGCTCAGGCGCAGACAACCACGCAGACGACCACGGAGTCTCCGCAGGCGCAGGCGGCGCATCGACGAGACGAACGCATCACGGCACTCGAGAATCAAGCTGCCGATCAGACCGCCAAGGTGACGGCCGTCGCCAATGATGTGAAGCAACAGGCGGCTAAGATTGATAACGTCGATAACAAGGCGGATGAGCAAGCTGATGACATTAAAAAAGTCTCCAAAGACGTCAAGGAACAAGAGGAGACAAATGAGGATCAATCCGACGATATCAACAAGGTTGAGAAGACAACCAAGTCCACGCAAGATGACGTCGACGACTTGTCGTCGAAGCAGCAAGATCAGGGCAAGAAAATCGCTCAGAACGAAGCATCGATTAATCAGCTCGATGCGCAAGTGCGAGCTGATGACTCAAAGATCAAGGAAGTCACGGATGACGTGGAGAAGACTGATAACAAGATTGTGGATGTCTCCACGAAGCAAGCTGCCGAAGTGAGGGAGCTCGACGACACTGAGAGGCGACTCGACAATAAGATCGATGGCGAAAGCAAAGAGCTCGAGGAAACGCAGGATCAGTTGAAGGATGAGACCGAAAAGCTCGAAGACACGCAGGATCAGTTGAAGGACGAGACCAAAGAGCTCGACGACACGCAGTCCAAATTACAAGACACGACGACTAAGCTCGCGCAAGCTTCCGTAAAGGAACAAGGTGACGTTAACAAGCTTCAAGATAAAATTGATGGCGAGGACAAGGAACTGGACGAGACCCAATCCAAGCTGGAAAACGAGAGCAAAGAACTCGATGAAACGCAAGATGCGTTGAAGGACGAGAGTAAGGAGCTCGATGAAACCAAGTCCAAATTCGAAGACGAGACTGGCAAGCTCAAGGATGCCACTTTCAAGCAAGACGGCGAAATCGACAAACTTGAAGAAGTCACCGAAGGCACAAACAAGGAACTCGACGAGACTCAATCCAAGCTGGAGAGCGAGAGCAAGGAACTTGACGAGACGCAATCAAAGCTGGACGATGAAAGCAAGGAGCTTGATGCCACGGAGTCCAAGGTGGACAGTGAAAGCAAGGAGCTTGATGAGACTCAATCCAAGCTGGAGAGCGAGAGCAAGGAACTTGACGAGACGCAATCAAAGCTGGACGATGAAAGCAAGGAGCTTGATGCCACGGAGTCCAAGGTGGACAGTGAAAGCAAGGAGCTTGATGAGACTCAATCCAAGCTGGAGAGCGAGAGCAAGGAACTTGACGAGACGCAATCAAAGCTGGACGATGAAAGCAAGGAGCTTGATGCCACGGAGTCCAAGGTGGACAGTGAAAGCAAGGAGCTTGATGAGACACAATCCAAGCTGGAAAGCGAGAGCAAGGAACTTGACGAGACGCAATCAAAGCTGGACGATGAAAGCAAGGAGCTTGATGCCACGGAGTCCAAGGTGGACAGTGAAAGCAAGGAGCTTGATGAGACACAATCCAAGCTGGAAAGCGAGAGCAAGGAGCTTGATGCTACCGAAACGAAGCTCGATGAAGAAACCAACAAGCTCACAGACGCTACGTCGAAGCACGACAGCGCGATCAACCAACTGCAGCAACGCGTTGAAGAGGAGAATACGGAACTTGACGCGACGCAATCAAAGCTTGAGGATGAAACAAGCAAGTTGAAGGAGACGGTGACGGATCATGGTATGCAACTCGAGAAGCTGAAGCTGCGCGACGATGAATTGAACGATGGACTCAAAGACGCTCAGGTGAAGTTCGACGGTGAAACGCAGCAGCTCGGTAAGCGAATCGATGAAGCACGAGACGAGCTGAATGCTGCTACGTCGCGCATCGACGACGAAACTAAGGAGCTGAAAGAGTTCTCGTCGAAGAACGGCGGGCGCATTGATGAAGCTTTGGAAGCTATCTCTGGGAACCGCGAAGCAATGGAGGCAAACCGCGAAGCGATGGAGGCAAACCGCGAAGCAATTAAGAACATCACGGAGATCAAGGACCAAGTCAGACGGCATGCGGATGATCTCGTTGACCTCGATCGTCGACTCGGAGAGGAAGAAGGTCAAGTTTATAACGCGACGGCAGAGCTTAAGAATCTCACGATCAAGTTCGATGAACACGCAGATGCGATGGAGGAATTTTCTGAGAACATGAAGCTTGAGCGAGAGAAGACCAGAGAACTCATCGCTACCATCGACGAAAAGGTTGGCAAGGTCCAGGAGTCGTACGACGATTTCCGCCAGAAGATTGAAGTAGAGATGCAAAAGCTGGAGGAGAAAATCGCCAAGCTCGAGCTGAGCGGCAGTGTCGACGAAAACAAATATCCAGCAGAGACGAAACAGTCCACGCCGACGGCGGAGAATCATTACCCGGTGTCGACTTCGGCGCCAGCGAACACGCCGACGGCGAAGAATCATTACCCGGTGTCGACTTCGGCGCCAGCGAACACTGAGCAAACAAGTCAGCTATCCGGGCCATTTTTTGATCAGAAATTCTATCGCATGCGGCCAGAGGGACTCGAACCCGACTTTGAACCAAAGATGGACGATCCAGCCGCAGAATCTGGCGGGTTTTTCGCGTGCAACGTTCCTAATCAGTGCATGACTGGTATGAAGATGTTCACGCGTGAGAACCGACTTGTCGGGCTGCAGGGATTATGCGCTGGCGGCGCGAGATCGACCGACTTGTTGTCTGGATTCTACGACATGTTCCCGAAGACGAGTACGATAAATTTTAACAAGTTCATCGAGTCTGGAGAGGGCTCTGATCGGGCCTGCACCATGTCGTTTGGCGAAAACTCAGGATCGCTTTTTATTCGACGGGAGAATGACTACGTGATCGCCATGTCCCAAGACGGAACCAAGGCGACACGATGCGGTCGAGACGTTGAGACGGCGGCTTCCGTGCGGCATCAGTGCCAAAATCCCAGAGCTTGTATCACTGGTTTCCACGTGAAGAACGAGTACGGCAATCTGGATGGAAACGCGCCGAAACGCACAGAGAACGACTTGGCAATTTCAGTGGTTGACTTTGTGTGCTCAGACGGCAACTTCGCCGTCGACCCTATCAAGCTTCGACCAGATTACGGGCAAGTGAAAGTTCAGCCGGAGTTCACCGTGGGTGTGGCGAACACACCTAGGCACGACGGCACGATGAGGCGCACGGTGACGCCATATCTGCGCCTCAAGACGAACACCGTGGTGAGCGACTCTTTCTTGATGGCTGTAAAGGTTCGTGACATAACCGATTTGGACGTTACGGGAGGTTGGTGCACGCAACAAACGATGCAAGCGTCTCTCAACTCGCCGCACACGTGCAAGGAAGGTGCCAAGCTCTGCGCCAAGCCATCATTCTTGTACAATCCTGCGGGGATGGAGTACGAGCTTAAATTCGGTGAGCAGGTGTTCGAACTTCTCGATCCTGAACGCCATGAGAGCTCTCGCATAGCGATCTACAGCGAAGACACATCGCTGCCGGATCACGTCAAGCACTTCCCCATGCCGAAGGATCGCGAGTTCTTTCAGTTCGGTCGCAAGTACGAGGTGTGTGTTGCCGCCGTCGAGCGCTCCAAGTTCAAAAATCTTGGTGCCTCGACGACGAACGGACCATCGTCGAAGAACTTTTATAACCGTCACCTGGATGGGTCGGCGCAGTTCATTGGTCTTCAACAAGTCGGTGAGAGACAGCTTCAAATGCAAGGTGGACCGAAGCACTTCATGGTCAAGGCACCGAAAGCGCCCTTGCGCTCTCGGATGACTGAGCTCGAGTGCTTCTCCGGCGAATGCGATATCTCTGGGTCCGTGCCGCCGATCGAAGACAAGGTTATTGAGTCTCAATCGTATCCGGCGAGACCATCGTATCCGGCATCGCACCAGGCAAAAGCCGACGTCGGCGAATTGACCGAGGAGCAGATTGAACAGCGAGAAGCCACACACACGCTCGACGCCCGCCACAAGCTCGAACAGCTCCTGCACACCGGAGACGAATCCAACCAATAGTCCACTAGCGCGCGCCCCAGCACCGGCGCTTTAATCCATCGCATACTGTATCATTCATCGTCCGCTCTTTGTCGACGCCGCCTCGCGTCACGCAGCCCAACCTAGAGCGCCGTCCCCACACTCGTCCGCGCGAACCGTACGTCTCGACCTCGCGAGCGCGCATAACGACCTTGACATCTGAAAGATCTCGATGACCACGACCAAGTCAGCTGCCGAGCGTTCACATCTCACCGCTCGGCGCGTTACGCTCGTGGAACATTAAATGCTCGAGTCGCAAAATCAACGCTTCGTCGCCGTTTTGGCGATCGTGAGCGTCGATCTCGGGCGCACGCACCGCCTTGAGGGGCGTCGGGGACGTTTAGAAGGCACTCGTGCCTCGCGCCGCGACGGGGACCTCAAGGGGTGGGACATTTAACGTTTTTTGAAGCCCCAAAAGTGAGTGATCGACCCGACGCTGACCGCGGTTTTTCGTACACGCGAGCAGGGAATCAATCATGATGATCTCGGTTTGAGGAGGTAGTGATGTTGTAATTTACAAATTGTGCGCTCTGAAATGTAAAACTCGATCGGTAAAACGTGAGACCGCGCGACGATTTAAGCGGCAATCTTCTTCGCGTCAGATGAGGCTGTGATTCGTTCTCTGATGAGCGGAGAAAAGTTCTTCAAGAGACCTTGCACAGGCCACGCCGCGGCTGAGATCGCAAAAGAGAATGTTAGAGTCAGTCGATAAGTTATCGAGAGATCGAGGCGCTCGTTGAGATATCGCGCGGCGTGTTCGAGGTCGAGTCGAGTCTTTTGACGCACCGTCGCCCAGAGCGCAAATGGTGTGACCCTCGATTTGCTTGGTGATCTCCTGCAGCATCTCCACCTCCTCGAGACGCGCATCGCCCTTGACAAGACGCTTCATAATGTTGTAGATCCATGACGTGCCCTCGCGGCAGGGCGTGCACTGTCCGCACGACTCGTGCTTGTAAAAGTAGCTCAGACGTGCGATGGCATCGACGACGTCGGTGGACTTGTCCATGACGATCACGGCTGCGGTTCCAAGACCGCTTCCCACGCCCTTAAGGGCGTCGAAATCCATCAAAACGTCATCGCACACATCCTTAGTGATCATTGGCACCGAGGAACCGCCCGGGATAACGGCTAAGAGGTTATCCCAACCGCCTCGCACGCCACCGCAGTGCTTTTCGATGAGGTCCTTCAGCGGAATTGACATCTCCTCCTCCACCGTACACGGGTTGTTGACGTGACCGGAAATACAGAAAAGCTTCGTCCCAGCGTTGTTCTTACGACCGAACGAGGCGAACCATTCGGGTCCACGGCGCAAAATCGTCGGCGCCACAGCCACTGTCTCCACGTTGGTCACTGTTGTCGGGCATCCGTACAGACCGACGTTCGCGGGGAATGGCGGCTTCAATCTCGGCTTTCCTTGCTTACCCTCGAGCGACTCGATAAGAGCCGTCTCTTCGCCGCAAATGTACGCCCCCGCGCCGTAGTGAATGTTGACGTCAAAGTCTAATCCAGTGCCACACGCATCCTTACCCAAAAAACCCGCAGCGTACGCCTCTGCCAACGCCCGCTCCAGCGCCAGACGCTCATTCACGTACTCACCACGAATATAGATGTACGCCGCTCGCGCCCGCATCGCCGTGCCCGCGATCAGGCAACCCTCCAGCAACTTGTGCGGGTCGTGTCTCATGATTTCTCGATCCTTGCACGTCCCCGGCTCGCTCTCATCCGCGTTCACAACCAGATAACTCGGCCTTCCGTCGCTCACCTTCGGCATGAACGACCATTTCAATCCTGACGGGAAACCGGCGCCACCTCTACCACGTAAACCCGACGCCTTCATCTCATTCACGATCCAATCGGCGCCCAGCTCGACGAGTTTCTTCGTCTCGTACCAATCCCCGCGCGCCATCGCACCTTTCAAAAACGGATCGTGTCGCCCGTACAGGTTCGTGAAGATGCGATCGGCATCACTCAGGTTCCCGTGCGTCCGCTCCGGTGCCTCGACGCTCGCGTACGCGCGACTAACCGGGGTTAAAGCACGAATCTTTGAGATTTCACTTGATCGAAAAGTTCGAATCGCACTCAGTTTATCGCCGTTTTCACGCGCGACGACGCGGTTGGCGGTCGATAACGTCCTCAATAGCCCCCTACCGGTTCTCGTGAACATCTCGAGCGCGTTCAGCGCGCGCCGAGACGCCGAGAGCGGGCGTGTGTGGACTCAAAGCGCGCGATCAACGGGTTTAGGTTTACCACTCACGCAGAGCGCGGAGCGCGTGAGCGAGCGACGTGCAGAGCGCGTACGTGCGATGATGCGACGAAAAGTTCGATTAATCGCGCTCTAAGAGCTCGTGCTTGATTTCGAAGATCAACACGCGCCAGAGGGCGAGGACGAAGTCGTCGGCGATGTCCTGGTCGAGTATCGGCGCGAGCGCCGAGACGAGCGAGAGCGGTTTCGGACGCTCGGAAAGCTTGTCGAGGACGAAGCGAATTATCGATGGTTCGGGCTCACCCAGGAGGTCAACGAACTTTTTTGAGATCCAACGCTCGGCCGCAGTCTCGATGGAGGCATCTTCGTAGACGGACCAGTCGATGGACGCGGCGAAGACGTCGTCTCGATTGACTGGGACGCTTGCGACGAGCGCGGCGACGTCCACGGAGGAGGCTTGCTTGCGCCGTCGCACGCGATCTTCGCCGCCGTCCTCGGGGTCGAACACACCGCCATATTTACGCGCGCCGCCATTGTTCGCACCGCTGTCGAGACCGTGCTTCAATCCTGCAGTCAACGCAGACTCTCTCACCGGTTTCCTGGGCAATCCGAAAGACGTCGGCGGCGGCGGCACGGCGGGTTCAGTGAATCCTCTCGTCACCGTGTGCGACGGCTCCGGCGGGGCTGGAGGTAAATCATAACGCCGCTCTCTGCGCTCGCCGCCAGATCTCTCGTCGTTGTCTCGATCGACCGCGACGACAGCTTCCGCCTGCGCTCGCGCTCGCTCCTCCTCCTCTGCTCGGCGGTCGCGCGCGTCTTCTTCCATCTCGCGCTCTCTGAATCTCTTCCTCCGTTCGCGCTCTTTGTCCGACCTATCCCATAGAGGAATGATTTCCCCATCTTCACCCTCCATGTCCTCCAGGTCTCGCCGCATAGCTTCGCGGCGATCCACCTTGCGTTCTCGCGCGAGCTTTTCTCGCCGACTCCGCAGACGCGACGTCGTCGCCGCGATCTCATCACACACCTTCTCTCGTTCGCGACACAATCGTTCTATTCGTTCTGTCACTTCATAATCATGCCCCCTCGGAGCTCTGGCGTCACCGAATCGAGCACCGTGGTATCCGTCGCGGCGCGCGTCTCGCTCGCGCGATCCGTCGCGCTCGCCAGACCGCGCGCGCGTCCTACCCTCCCTCCGTTCGCGCGAAGACCCTCCATCGCTCGACGCCCGACCTCTCACCCCCTCATCATCGTTCTTACCAACTTGATCGCAAGACCGCTCGCCGTCTCGCCCGCTACCGTTCTCGCTCGCCGCCGTCTCTCGCGTCCCGCTCGCGACGCCCGCCCGCGCGACGTCGCTCGCGTCCGCGATCTCCCCCTCCTCCTCGCCCTCGCGTCCCACTCCACCCCCTTTCGTCAACACGCCTCTCACCATCTCCCGCATCGTCTCCAAATCCGATTCCGACCGTCTCTTCCCTCCGTTCTCCGCGTGCGCGTCTCGCGTCGCCGCGTTCGCGCTGCTCGTCAGCCGTCCACCGACAATCTCCAATCCATCCAGCACCCAGACGCACGTCATCGCGCTCTCGGCGCTCGCGAACGACGCGAACCCAAAGCTCTTCCCCGCGTTCGTTCTCGGGTCCGACACGCGCTTGAACCCGACGAATCCGTCACCGCAGACGACGCGCAGGATTCGTGTCAACGACGCATCGTCGACGGAATCGGGAATCTTCCCAACGTACGCGCGGTGATTCCCCTCTCGCGTCGCCGCGTTCGCGGCGTTCAATTTTTCATCATCCATTCGACGCGCGCTCGAGCGCGCGCGCGCGTCGCGTCGCGCGGGACGGCGCGAAGTGTCGTCGTGACGTGGTGTCGGGTCGCGGCCACGAGTCGACGACATCGCGCGACGCGACGCCGGTGCGGACGTCGTCACGGCGCGCGCGGGGGCGAGGGAGAATCATGCGCGCGCGTTCGCGGGTGATGACGGCGCGACAGGGGGTCGCGCGGCGCGGACGCGACGATGGAGCGCGACATCGGGTCTTATCGAGAAATCATCGAGAATCGACGCCCGACGACGCGCGCGCGGGCGACGCGGACGCGGGGTTCGACGACGGACGACCGGTGATCGATGTGCGCGCGCGGAGCGCTCGAAGGCGCGGACGAGGGGCGATGGAGATCCGGAGGCCGGAGATTTTGAAATCCAGGGCGAAGGCCGTCGCGGACGCGGACGCGGCGGCGGGACGGGAACGAAGGGATGGGGATTCGGACGACGAGGGAGAGATCTCGAGGGAGAGACGACAATTTGGTGGGCGAGGGGACGTTGGAAACGCGTCGGTGATGGAGCGTATGGTGCGAGCGACGGATGAGATGTTGGACGACATGGAGGCGCGAGAGAGCGCGGCGGCGCAGGCGGCGTTCGAGGTGAGCAAACGCGCCGAGGCGGTGGCGGCGAATCCGGCGGTGAAGGGGACGGTAGAGGCGTTCGGGAAGATTGGTGGAACGGCACTGCGAGTGGCGGCGCCCGTGGTCGTGGAGGGCGCCGGGAAGGTTGTGACGGCGGGCGGAAAGTTAGCGGTGCGCGCTGTGGCGGCCAAGGTTGGGTTCGAGGACAATCGAAAGCGCGAACTTCGAGAGAAGGAGTCGGCTGCGAAGCAAAACGGACGATTCACGCTTCCTCAGCTCGCGTTCGGCAAGCCGAATCCCCCCGAGCCACCCGCGAAGAAGAAGTTAGGATCGTTTTTCTTGCCCGATCAAGGCAAACAGTCGACGAATAAGCAGAAGAACGACAACGGTAAAGGACAAGGCCTGGGCGCTTTGTTTTCTAGGAAGAAAAACTAAACGAACGATGCAGCGTTTGTACCGCAGCGAGATTTATTAGTGGCATTGTAACGAGCAGCGATTGAGTGAAGAGTGAAACTTATTGTGTTATAGCAAAAGGTCGCCCTTTGGGCGAGAGCTTAGAGACGAGAGCCTTACGCCTGGTGAGCAAGACGCATCGTTATACGAATGCCGAAGCAGATAACGAGACCGTCTAGAAACAGCAGATACCGAGGCCGCAGAGGCCAGAAGACTGCTGTTCGATGACAGGCACCTCCACCTTCACCTTTTCTTCAGTCTTTCCTTCAGTCTTCGCATCACCACCCGTAACCTTTTCCTTTTCTTCAACCTTCTTGTCACCACCCGTAACAGTCTTGCCGACGGCGTTCACGGCGCTGGCACCTATGCTGAGAGCCTTGCCAAAAATCTTGAACGGTACCGCGATAAGAGAGTTGTTCTCGGCCTTCTTGCGTTCTTCTTCAGCCCGCATGGCAGCTTCAGAAGCAGCCTTGGCTTCCTCTTCAGCCTTTTGATGAGCGGCGGCGGCTTCGGCGGCTTCTTTTTCAGCCTTCTTCGCGGCCGCCTCGGCCTCTTCCTTAGCTTTACTAGCTGCTCTAGTCGCTCGCTCTTCAGCCTTCTTAGCGGCTTCTTCCGCGGCGGCCTTAGCCTCCTCGGCAGCCTTGGCGGCGGCGGCTTCCTCTTCAGCCTTCTTAGAGGCGGCAGCCTTGGCTTCGTCTTCCGCCTTCTTGGCGGCTTCTTCCGCAGCCTTGGCGGCGGCGGCGGCTTCTTCCTTGGCCTTCTTGGCGGCAGCCTCCTCGGCAGCCTTGGCGGCGGCGGCTTCTTCCTTGGCCTTCTTGGCGGCAGCCTCCTCGGCAGCCTTGGCGGCGGCGGCTTCCTCTTCAGCCTTCGCCTTTGCCTCCTCCGCCTTCTTCATCTCTTCGAGCTCGGCAGCCTTGGCGGCGGCGGCGGCGGTGGCGGCGGCGGCTTCCTTCGTCGCCTTCGCCACTTCCTCCTCCGCCTTATTGTAAGCTTCCTGGTGCTGCTCGATCTTCGCCTCCTCGGCCTCGCGCTCCTTCTTCAATTCCTCGAGTTTCGCCGCGGCTTGCTGGTCGTTCCTCGCCGCCTTCTTCGATAGCGTCTTCTCGAGCTGGGCCGTCGCCTTGAGCGACTTCTGCGTCGTCAGAATCGCCCGCACCGCCTCCTGCTTCTCGATATCGGACGATTTCTGCGCCTCATCCGCCTTGGCGCGCGCCTCGCTCGCCTGCGCCGCCGCGGCGTCCGCCTCCTGCGCCGCCTTTTCCACGATATCCTCCTCCGCGCGCTTCAAAAAACTCATGAATCCCTTATTCAACGACGGTTTCTTCGTCAGATCGTTCGTAGACATCGCGTATCGATCGAGCGTCGGTGTGCGCGGCCTTTTCCTTGTTTTAAATGCGTTTCCGCGTGATAATTCTGCACCAATCATCGCGAATCGCACGAATGCGTCAGTCATCGCGCCGTCTCTTCCCACGCGCGCCCACGCGCGTGCGCGACGTCGACGCGCATCACCGCGCTTCCGCGTCCGCGCGTCACGCACCGAAACGAGCGCGCGCGCGCGTGTGCGTCGCGCGCGGCGATCATCGATGGGCGTGGGCGTCCGGGTGTCGAGTCATGACTCGTGCGGAGTCCGTCGGAGATCGGGTGTTGAAGATCCCCCAGTCCACGGCCCGCGTGCTCGTACTGTGCGTCCGTGAAGCCGATGTAAAGACCTCGTGACGACCATCGCGCGCGCGCGTCGACCGATGCGCGCGACATCGCGCGCGATGGCGCGCCCGTCGCGAACGACGACGCGCGCGACGGGCGCGCGCGCGCTGGTGTGCGTCGTCGTCCTCGCGCGCGTCGTCGCCGCGCGCGGTGCGGTCGGTGACGGTGGAAGGAATGGAACGCGGGCGAGGGATGATTTTGGTGTGGGCGCGGACGCGCCGGACGATACCTGGGCGCTCGTCGTCGACGCATCGAGGTACTGGTTTAATTATCGACACGGCGCGAACGCGCTGAGCGTGTATCGAACGGTGAAGCGGATGGGGGTGCCGGATTCGCGCGTGGTGTTGATGCTCGCGGATGACCACGCGTGCGACGCGAGAAACGCGCGACACGGGAGGATATACGGCGATGATCGAGGGCACGTGGAGCTGTACGGGAACGATGTGGAGGTGGATTATCGAGGGAGCGAGGTGACGCCGGAAGCGTTGGTCAGGGTGTTGACGAATCGACATCCGCGAGGGACGCCGCGGTCGAAAAAGTTGTTACCGGGACCGAGGAGTAACGTCCTGATGTACATCACGGGACACGGAGGGGACGGGTTCATCAAGTTTCAGGATCAGAGTGAGTTGAGGGACGAGGAGATCGCGGACGCGCTGGCGCAGATGCACGCCAAGGGGAGGTATAACGAGATGTTATTCTTGGCGGATACGTGTCAGGCGTCAACCTTGGCCAAGGCGATTCGCTCGCCGAGAATCTTAGCCTTGAGCTCGAGCGCGTTGGGGGAGAACTCGTACTCGCACTTCGCCGATCCCGAGATCGGGGTGCACGTGATCGATCGATTCACGTATTACATGTTGGAGTTTTTTGAAAAGCTCAAACCGGAGAGCTCGGAGACGATGGGCGAACTCCTCGCGACGCTCACAAAGGAAAAGCTCATGTCGACCGCGGTGTTGGATGAGAAGACCTTCACGCACAGAGACGCGCGATCGGTCAAATTGAGCGAGTTTTTTGGAGCGGTGTCGCGGACACGCGTCCTCAGGGGCTCTTTCAATTGGTTCGTCGGGGCGAAATCGGCGTCGCCATCCATCGAGAGAGTCGCGCGCGCAAAGGAGACGACGTTCGAGCGCGTCGATATTAAAGATTTAGGTTTCGTAGTCGTGTAGAGTAAAGTACATTCATTCACATCGTCGGAAACCGAAAGTGCGCGCTCCCGGGTTCTGCGCTGCGGCCGCGTTGGATTACGTCCTTTTCCCGGGAGCTTCGTCGAGCCACGCACGCGCCTTTTCCTTGATGCTCCGAAGCTCCATCATGAGCTTTGGATTGAACAAAAGGAAGTAATCGTTCGTCGATGTGATCGTTTTCAACAGTAACTCGGTGGACGCCATGACGGCCTCGTCCATCTCCGCTCGAAGCTCGTCAACGCGCGCGGAGCATCGAGCGAGTTGCTCTCTCTCGACGCCCTCGTCGTCCATGCGCGCCATCTCTGCCTCTACCGCCGCGTCCGTCGCCTCCACCGCGTCCTCGTCCGCGACATTGAAATCATCGTCATCGAAATCATCCATCACCGAAAATCGCATGACCTCCTTCACTTGCTCGGCGGTCACCGCCTCTGTCTCTTCATCGTCTAGTGATGTCGTCGTCGGCGCCGGCGCCGGCGTCGGCCTCGGCGTCGGCGCGACGACCGTGATCGAGCCGCCCTCAACCGCCCTCGGCACGCGAGATGCGGGAACCTTGAAAACCAACGGAGACTCTTTCGGCGCCGTCGGCGCCTCGATCGCCTTCACGTTTGCCGCGTCGGCATTCACGTCTTTCGCGTCGGCGTTCGCGTCCTCGCGCGCGCGTCCCTCGTCCTCATCCCGCGCCGCAACCTCGACCGCCTCTTTGGTCGCGCCCACCTCCGGTGTGCTTTTCAACCCCTCGCGTTGCTCGCTCTCGCTCTCGCTCAGGTCGAACGCGTCGAGATCGAGCGCGTCATCGGAATCAGCACGTCGTCTGCGACCGCAATCGAAAACGTGTCATTCCGCGACTCTACGTCGCACGCGACGCGTTTCACGCGCTCGCGGGCGCGTAGACGCACGGTACATTTCCATTCGGTCGATTCACCGGAGTCGACGCGGTGTCGCGACCCGGGGGGCGAAACGCCGAGCTCATCTCTCGAGCGTCGCGGAATCGCGTTGGATTTGTTATTTCGACGCTCGAGAGATGAAATCGTGCGATTGGTGCGTCGCGGGGACGTCGCGCGACGGAGAATTAATGTTGTGTGCGCGCGGGAGCCTCGAGGGAGGCTCGGTGGACGTCGTCTTCACGCGTCGCCGGGATGTCACTTTCGAGGAGATTCACAGTGAAACCGGGCACCCCCGCGCGTCGGGGTTCACCATCGACGCGGAGGCGACGCGACGGTCGTGTCGGACCGAGCACGGGTTTGAGCTCGGGAAGGATGGGAAGGAAACGTGTGAGCGCTTGCGGGGGATGTTCGAGCGAGGGGAGGTGACGATTCTGCATGAGCCGAGTCCAGCCTCGTCTTACGCACGAGTGAAGGTTGGTAGAGGTAAAACAGTCGACGTGGAGCTCGTGAGCGCGCCCCGCGGATGGTGGGAGATTGATGCGGTGCAAGCGTTGTCGTTCATAAATGAAGGGTTGTTGGAGACGCTAGAGGTGCTGAAGAAGACGAAGAGAGAGCGGGAGGCGGTAGAGGGCGACGCAAGAGAGGAGCAGCCTCGAAGCTCGAGCGCGACGCCTCGGGCGTCGCCCGCCAAGGGTACGTCCATAGGAAACTGGGTGCTCGAGGGCACGCGAACGCGACCAAAGTTGGCGAAATTGGTCGAGGAAAAGGGAGTTAAATGAGTTAGAGACGAATGAAATGAATTGAAAATGCGCTGTACCATCATTTACCGTCGTTGAGTGTCCAGTCGTACGCGCGCGTCGTGAGCTTGACGTTCGTTGCGTTAGAGCGTTCAAGCGCTCGAATCAGCGCGTCTCGATCGTCGCCGCTTTTCATATACTTGGACGCGTACTTGAGGCGCTCGACGTCGGTCGAACCAAAGTCGAATTTGTACCACTCGCCAACGATTTTACTCACCGCCGCCGAAGCCACCTCGCCGTCTTCACCGCGCTTGATGTCGATCTCGGACTCAAAGAACGCGTAAGTCGCGTCCTCAAGCTCGCGTTCAATGTCTGCGGCGGTGTACACGCGGATAGGCGGACACGAACGAGCGCCACACACGAGGGCAAAGTGGATTCGAGGATCCATCGGAATCACCACGTGGTTCCTCCGCGGATCGCCCGCGCGGAATGGCCCGCGCGAGAGCGACGGACGTCCGGTGAGCGCACCGATCGTCGCTGCTCCGGGTCGGTTCCCGCGTAAGATCCCATTCTCGATGTCATCACACGTGTACGTCGACCCGCCGATGTCATATGACGCCTTGGAGAAGAAGTCTAAGCGCTCAATCGTATTCTTTGGAGCGCCGAACACGCACGTGGCATGGATCACGAGGGCATTATAGACGTTGATGAAGAACGCGATGCGCTCCTCGCGCGAGAGCGCGTTGAGGTTCACTCGCTGCAACTCCTCGGAAGATTCGACGAAATCTTTGAACCCCGCGCTCGCGCGCAACCCGGCGTAATCCACAGCTCGTCCGTCGGCGGAGAGAAACTCATCGTACAGCTTTAAAATGCGATTTCGAACGTCTTCAACTACGCTCTTGGCGTCCCTGGATTCGCCGACGTAGAGCTTAGCGCAATTGAGCGGCGCGCACCCGAGAGATGGCGCTTCGGAGCGAAATCGAAACAGCGCGTCTCCGTCGAGCACAAAGGGTGCCGCTGCGTCCACGTCTTGAATCAATCTCTCGAGCACCATCTCTTCCCCCAAACGTACGGCATCCTCCGTCGTCTCCGCTTTTTTGTTCGCGATCATCCAATCCACCGCCTCTCGTGGCGTGAACGTCCCGACATGCGTCTTCACCAATCCGAACGGCCCGCTCGAGAGACCTCCAAATCGTCTTCTCGTCGACCGCGTCACGCCGCCGTCCTCTTTCGCCATCTCGTTCGCCACCTCTTTCGCGCTCGTCTTCCCCGACGAACTCGTTTCACTCTCCTTCACCAACTGCGTTAACCACGACGATCTCGCCGCCGGCGCCGGTGGAACCGGTTCCGGTAACTCGCGTCCCGCGGTGCGCGCGTCCGCGGCGTCCCGAAGCTTTCCGGGCGCCCCGCCCCTCGCTTCGATCTCCGCCTCTCTGACCAACCTCTCGAACTCCCCCGACTTCAACCCATCACACGTGTCGTCCGCACCACCGTAGATCACACCGCCGACGTAAACCTGCGGGACCGAGCGAAACCCGGCGAGCGCGCTGCTCACGGCTCGCAAGTCGCCGTCGCCGTCCACCGAGATCTCCTCGTACGCAATATTCTTCGCCTCCAACGCCGCTTTCGCGCGCTTACAGTGCGGACACGACGTCGTTCCGACGACGCACACGCGCGGTGCGTCGTTCGAGGCGCCGTCGACGCTCGAGCGGGTGATTATTTGATTCTTTGTCGATTGTTGACTCGTGTCAATCATCATCCGTGCGCGCGCGCGCGCGGTCGTTCGACGACGCGTCGACGCGACGCGCACGCCGCACGCCACACCGCGCGTCGCCATTCGCGATCTTTCCCGCGCTCGACCGCCCCGCGCGCGCCGAGGCGTCGCACGCTGACGTCAGAAACCGTCGCGTCACTGAAATACATCGATCCTCGATCGACGGTTCGTCTCCCATGACGGAGCACTTCTTCGCGAGCAAGCGGATGGAGACGCTCTATCCGCTCCCGCGGTCGACGGCGATCGTGACGCAGAGCGAGAACGGGCCGTGTCCGCTCCTGGCGGTCGTGAACGCGCTGTTGCTCTCGAGTGAAATCGAGCCGAGCGATCTGAATCGACCCGGTGTCGGCGACGTCGGCGGTTGCACGACCGAAGGTTTGACGCGGTGCTTGTTCGACGTTATCGACGCACGTCTGCGACGTCGGAGCGAGAACGCGAGCGATGAGGTGCGAATGAGCGCGGAGATGGCGGCGGCGGAGGCGAAGAGCGCGACGAGCGACGCCGCGCGCGGACTGGACGTGAACGTTCGATTCGATGATTGCGAGCGGTTCGAGTTCACGAGAGAGATGAGTTTTTTCGATGCGTGCGGGACGCGGGTGATGCACGGATGGGTGGTCGGCGAGGGCGAGCACGGCGGCGAGTCGGTTGACGCCGTGGGCAGAGATGGATATAACCGTTTGACGGAGCGGTTGATCGAGCTTCGGACGACGGTGATGGAGAGCGATACGGCGGATGTTTCGGCGCAGGATGAGGCAAAAATTCCATCGGAAGTGGTCGAGGCGAACGTCGAGCGGGCGGGGGACAGAGAGGAGCGGGAACTGTTGGAGCACGCGATGAAGCTGTCGCTCGAGCCCGAGAAATCCGCGCGAGACGAGGCGTTGGCGAGAGCGATGCGCGAGGCGGATCTCATCGAGGATTTTTTGAACACCACGGCGAGTCAGCTCACGTCCACCGGGTTGGCGCAGATGCGAGATCGGATAAACGAGCGCGAGTACGTGGTATGGTTTCGGAACAACCACTTTAGCGTCGTAACCAAGCTCGACGGGCAGCTCTATGCGCTCGTCACCGATCAAGGGTACTTGCACGAACCCGACGTGGTTTGGGAAGGTTTAGGCGGCGCTAAAGATGGGATGTTTTTCACGTCCAAGTTCGAACCGTTCGTGCCGCACGCCGAATCGGGGCCCGAGGCGATGACGGCAACGAGCGCTTCGAGCGCAAGCAGTCCGATCCCGGACGCGTTCCTCCGCGCGTCCAGCGCTGGCACGGGCGAATCGACGACGAATGCGTTCGAGCCCGACGTCGAGAAATCCGATCACGCCCTCGCTCTGGAGCTTCAGGCCCAGTACGAGGCAGAAGATCGACTCCGCGCCGAGCGCGAGCGCCGCCGAGCGAGCGAGCGAAGCGCTCCGCCGACCGTTCCGTACGCCGATCAGAGCCGACCGTCGTCCTCGACGTCCACCATCGGCGCGCGCAAAACGGCATCAAGGAAGAAACCGTCGTCGTCCAAGAGCGCGCTCGACTCATCCTGCGTCGTCATGTAGACGCTCTGACACGCTTCGCCGTCCGCACTGTGCGCCGCGCCCGAACGTCATGGAAGGCTGGACGTGGGACTCCTTCACCAAGGGCGCCGCCGACGCCGCGGAGACCACGCGTTTGCTCGCCCTGAAGAGTGCGTCAATAGCGTCGAACCGCGTCTTCGCACCAACGAACGCGCGCGATCCGAATGTGTCGACTAACCAAAGTCTCCGCTCCCTCCCGCAGGCGCCAAACGTGCGGAGATTATGTACATAGAAAACCAAATCTCGAGCGCCATGAGCGCGTTCGGGACGCAAGCGTTCCCGGCGCTCGAGCGCGGTGAGTCCGTGACTCCACTCTACGAACAGACCAAGCGGGACGTCGATAGGCACCGCGCCGACGTCGCCGAGTGCGAACGCGAGTGTCAGAGGCTCGATCAGGAGATCACAAACGTCGGGTGCGCCGAAGCGCAGATCAACGCGACCGGGTCGGCGACGCCGGACGTGCGAGCGAGCGCGCCGAGGTCGACCGCGAGCCTCCAGGACTTGTAGCGCGCGCGTCCGCCGTTGTAACCGTACATCGATTCATGATAGTTTTAAAACATTCGTCGTACGTGACGCGCGTCCGGTTTCCTTTTTTATTGAATATCTCAGTCGGACGCGCGCGCGCCGTCGGCACGCCTCGACGCGCGATCGCGCGCGCGTCGTCTCGCGCGTCCGTCACCGACGATGTCGCGCGTCGTCGCGTCGTCGATCGCGACGCGTCGCGAGCGCCCGCGCGTCGGGAAATCGATGAATCACGCGCGCCGCCGGGACACACCGATGCGAATCGCAGCGCGCGGTGACGTCGACGCCGAGCGCGAGACGTTCGAGGACGTGCGCCTGGCGCCGGTTCGTGCGCGTCCGCGGCGCGAGCGACCGAACCGGGGTGGTTTCGCGGCGCCGCGAGTGCCCAGGACGCCGACGGAGTGGGCGCGGGCGGCGGCGAGCCCGCTCGGCGCGTTCGCGTTGGCGGCGATCATCAGCGTCTCGAATCCGGAGTTCATGACGAGTGGAAGAGAGGCGATTTTGATGCGCTTGTATGAACGGCAGAGCGGTGAGGAGACGACGGCGTACGTGCGGAACGGGGTGCTGTATCGATACGACGCGGCGACGAAGAGCATGACGGCCAACGCCGATAACGGGTTGATGGTGGATAAGAATGGCGGGATATGGGTGATCGTGCCGCAGAAGGAGGACTCGACTTTGATTAAGCAGAAGTATTACATGGGGCAGATCGAGGACGTGCCGTCGCTGCCGAAGAATCCGTCGGCGGAGGAGAAGAGACGATACGACGAGTACATGAAGAAGATTTTTGACTTCAACAAGCTGCCAGATTTGAAAAAGGTGTACGACGGGCCGTTCCCGGTGCCGGAGCGCAAGGAGTTGCAGAGATTTTGGGCCAGTGGTGGGGCGCCGCCAGAGGTGATGGACGAGATCGAGGGTGCGGGCGCGCTCTGGGGCGCGCCAGGTGAGGTTCCCATGCGGCGGTGAGCTCTGAGACGGACCAACACGGCAATTTTGTACGATACGGCGATACAACACGGTAATATTTTCATTAATACAACGCTACGGAGCACTTTCCACTTCATCGCGCGCCGTCGACGTTTCCCTCACCGAGGAGGGCCATCAATCCTTTTGCTCAGAACAGCTCTAATGTCGTCCCGAAGCACCGCAATTTCTCTCGCGTGCTCCGCGTTCGCGTCTTCAATCTCGTAGCGAATCTCTCGAGTTGCCCGAGCGATTGCATCCAATGACATCTGGCGCTCACGCGCGAGATTTTTCTCGTATGCGAGCTTGTGCTCTTCGAGGACGCCGCCGCCTCGCATCAAGACAGCGGCACGCGCGGAGACGTCATTCACAGATATTTGCGCCGAATCCACCGCCTGACGAAGCTCCACGAGCTCCAAAGCCGCCGTCGTCTTATAGGCTTCAAACTCCTCACGGACACGCGCGATTTCTTCATTTATCTCCGCGATTGCGGCGTCGTAAGTCTCTGCTTGATCGACGAGCGCCTTTTGCAAAGCCTGCGCGTAGAGCTCTCCTCGCTTACGAGCGTCCGCCTCGCTTTCACGCAGTCGCTTCAGGTCCTCAAGAGCTCGAAGCTCTTCCTCGCGAATAGCTCGAAGCACACCGTCTCGCTTCACTCGATCGCCCTCGTTCAGGCCCTCCTCATCGCGAATGACTTTCTCCACCTCCCTTGACATGACTTCGCTCACCTCGCGAACTTCCTCCGTCGCCTTGAGCAAGAGCTTGACGTGCGCCTCGGCAAAGTCTTCGTAGTGCTTCGCCATCTCCTTTCGCCCGCACCGCGCGACGCACCCGACGCTGTGGAAGTCACACATAATCTCCACCTTTGGACATACGACTTCGAGGTGGAGCTTCGTGTCGGCTTGCGACACGAGCGCGCCGCAGCCCGAAGGGCACGGCCGACGAATTTTGACGCACGTCTGCCTGTGACGAATTGCGCTCCGCTCGGCGACGTTCGACCGACAGTCGGGACACGTTGCTCCTCGCGCATAAGCGCACATCTCGTCGCGATGTCGCGGAAGCGCGTTCCGCTTCATCACCGCCGGGCAACACCTGGTATCTTCGTTATCGTCCGCCTCGTCCACGATCCCGCACATCACCTCTTTCGTCGGGCATATCTCTTCGTGTCGATCCTGCGCGTCGGTGCTCGTCATCCGCGCCCCGCACCCGTGTCTACACGGCCTTGGCTTGCGCTCACACTTCTCCGCGTGGTCGTCCGCGTGCATCCTCGATCCCGTCCAATCGCATCCCACGTTCGCGCACCGCTTCACCGCGAACCCACACTCTCGTCGATGTTCCTCTAAATCCCTGGCCGAGCACTCGAGCTCGCAACTGCGCGCCAATCCAATCCGCTCACCGTCCCTTTCGTTCAGCCCGCACACGACTCGACGAAATTCGCACTCGCGCGCGTGCGCCTCCAACTCCCCCAAAGTCACCACCGCGCCGCAACACCGCTCACCGAACCCTCTAAAATCCATCACGCTCTCTCCACCGACGCCTGTACCGCGAGAACCACCGAAGAGTCAGTCCGAAATCGCTCAATCAGCGCGCTCGCGATCGAAACGCACCCTTTGTCCACGCGTGCGGACAGTGCGCCCGCAGGTTCGCAACCTCCAACCCCAACCCCTCGTCCCGGATCCAATCCCGTTCCCCACACGTCGTCCTACACACCGGACACGTCCCAGTCCTCTTCGTCGCGAGCTCGGCGCACGGCTCGCACACGGCGTGTCCACACGGCGCGCGCGTCGGGCGTCTGAGCACATCTTGACAATCCTGACAGACGACCGAAACGTGCGGCTTAACGGCGAACACGACGCGCGTTCGCGCGGTGGAGACGTAGACGATGCCATACCCCTCGACACTGACGGCGCGGAGGACCATCGGGTCGAGGGAGGGACGCGCGCGAGTGAATGAAGGTCGCGCGGCGGTTGGAGCGAGACGCGCGCGAGACGCGCGCGAGAGACGAGGTTCGATGGATGGTGTTATTCATATGTCAACGATGCGCGCGTTGAGATCTACCGTCACCATCGGTCGCGGCGTCGATCGTCCGGTCGCGAACGACGATCGTGGTCGTGATGGGAGCCGTGGCCGCGCCATCCGCCGCCGCGTTGGTGGTTGGACGAGCTCTTGTGTTCCATGTACGGAACGTTCGGGAACGTGAACCCGCCACTCGGTTCGGCGTTCTCCATTCCACCAGATGGACGCGGAAAATCTTGACCGCGCGAGAAGACGAGCTGACGGTCGTCGCGACCGTTCGCTTGCGGCAAGAGCTTGGTGACGTCCACGCCTCGGCGTTCCATCAACGCGCACCCGTCGCGCAAGTTCTCGTCACGGTTGATCACGAACAAGGCCTCGATTCCCGTGAGTTCGGTCGCGAGCCAATCTGCGACGACGTCTTCGCACATGTACATCTTGAACACGTAACTCGCGATGGCGAAATCAATCTTCGGGACGCCGCACGCGTCCGCGACGCCTCCGTCTCGCATGTCCCAACGCGCGAAGCGCAACCCCAACGCCTCCGAAGACGCCCGCCACGACTCCTCGAGGTCTAAGCTGATCAAATCCAACTCAACGGTCGGGTAGTGCGCTTTGAAAAACTCCTGAAACGCCACCAACTCAAACCCCGGCCCGCCGCCCAGCGACGCGCATCGAATCGTCCCGCCGCGCTCCGCCCGTCGCAAAAACCCTCCATACATCCCTCGCTCCAAGCACGCCCACGTCTCCGTGAACCTCTGCACCGACTTAAATCGCACGTACTCCCTCTGGAGTCCTAAGTGTCGGTACTCTTCCTGACTCCACGTCACGTCCGCGCTCTTCATGCTCGGCTTTTTCGAGTACGTCGCCGCGCCCGTTCGTTTCACCTCCTCCACCACCGTCCCTTCTCGTTCGCACGCGCTCGCTATCGCTGCATCGATCACATCGATCGCCGATCGTCCGCGCGCGAAGAGACGTTCGAGCAGCGTCGCGCCGCGGTCGTCGCACGCGAACGCCCAGCGTTTGTTGCGATCTTGGTAATATCGATGTCGATGCTCGCGTCGGTCCACGGCGCCGGGCGCGGACGTCGAGGCGGGCGGCGCGCGGACGAGGACGCCGGCGAAGGCGTCGTCGGGGACGTCCATCGTTCGCGGCGTGGCGCGGGGGGGAGTGGGGACGGAGGGACGAGGGGCGCGGAGCTCGCGCGCGCGCGCGAATGGGTGTGACGTTTGGAAAATGCTAGCGCGTCGCGCGTTTAAAAAGTCTCTGCTAAAACATTCGTGGGAATCGTCGTGTGTTGTACAGTGCGGAGGCACGCTTCGAGGACGCCTCGGTTTAAACCTCCAGAATGGCGGTACCCTCGGCGATCTCAGAGTCGAGCTGTTGCGCGCGTCTCGCGGCGAGCGCGTTGACGGCGACGAGCCAACACACCGCGATGGCGCTGTGACAGCACACGAGCACGGGAAGGGCGCCGATGATGGAGCCGTAGGTGAAGATCAAGCCCTGTTGCATGAACGACCCACCAGTCTTACCGATTTGCGAGCCGAGGACGTCCACCGCGGCTTTACCCTTGGTGCGACTGTCTTCGTCCAGCGTAATGTACACCATTTCCTCTGCGGGTTTGAAGAGCGAGAACTTTGCCGCGCGCTCGACGATGTAGATCACTGCGCCTCCAAAGACGAGGATCGGCAACAAGTGGGACGATTGCGTGAGCGCACCGTGACGGAGAGCGTAGATGGACGTGCCAAAGAAGACCCACCCGAGCGCAATAACCGTCTTTGGCGTCACGGAGAGCGTTCCCTTCCAGCCGAGGTACTTGAACAGGAAGGGCGCGGCGACCATGAAGATACCGGTGACCATTCCGCTGTACGTTTGTACGTCGCCCATGTACGCCGCGTACGACGTCGGGTCCGGACGTAAGATGCGCAGCTGCGTCTTCCACGCGACTTGGAAAATGATGGAGCTCAAGCCTTGAGCAATCGCCATGACGGCCAAGCACGCGACTTCCGGCGACTCGAAGACGTACGAGAGCGACGCGGCGAGGCCTTGGGATTTCTTCTTCTTCGGTGAGGTCGAAGATTCCGGCGCAGACTCCTGCGCTAATCTCACCCTTTCCCTAGACTCGTGCTCGCGCAGTTTCTCCGACATCGCCGAGTTGGGATCCTTGCGTTCGCGGTCGCAAATATACTTGTGGCACGCCATGATGGCGCCTCCGCACGACATGACGACGAACATAAATAACTTCAACTTTTCTTGCCACATATTTTCCGGGGAAACACCGGCGGGGTGCCAGGACGTGGTGATGAACTTCATGAACATCCCCGAGCACGCCTGCGCGATGTTTGCCCCGATGCCGAGCAGAGGATAGATGATCCCAGCCTCGCTCACGCGAGTGATCTCGTTCGCCAAGCCCCAAAACAACAAGCTCAACACGACGTCGCCCCAAAGCTCGCCGGCGACGTAGAAGAGGGAGTACGTCCAGTTCGTGAACACGGCGATGCCGCCAGAGAGACCTCTCGGGAGAACGGAGGACAGGTACGCCGCCGTCTCGTACGGGTGCAGCACCTCTCGCATCGGGTACAGAACCCCGGTGAAGAGCGCAAAAAATACCATGAACACGGCGACGGCGAAATAAAACAACTTTTCCCGCCCCAACTTTTCGCTGAGCTTGCCGAACAACGACACGAAGAGCAGACTCATCGGCAGCACGGCGTACACGGTGAGGTACGGAATTTGCTCCGCCCCCCCGAAAGCCGTCACCACCAGCGTGTCTTTCACCGCATCCATGATCGAGTTCGCGAACGCCATGAAATAAAACATCATCGACATCGGAATCAGACGCCCCCACTGCCCCTTGAGCGGCGCCGCAATCTTCCGCGCGTGCCTCCGCAGAAAGTCTTCACCCGCCGGCTCGCCGCTCGATCCATCCACGGTGGACATCACCACCGTGCGTCGTCCCCGAGACCACGCACCGTGCGACGTTCCGAGGCGCGCATCGACCTCGACGCGTCCCACGTTCGACCGCGCGTCCGCCGCCGCCGCGTCGCCGCCGCGTCGTGCCCCG